TGCTGCTACTTGTTGTAGTACTAGTGGTGGTAGTGGTAGTAGTAGTAGTACTTGAAGTACTGCTGCTGCTTGAAGTGGTGCTACTTGAGGTACTAGTGCTGCTCGTAGTAGTACTACTTGTGGTACTGCTACTGCTTGTGGTAGTGCTACTTGTGGTACTGCTGCTACTTGTTGTAGTACTTGTAGTGGTCGTAGTACTAGTAGTACTGCTAGTGGTGGTCGTGGTAGTAGTGCTACTGCTACTGGTTGTAGTACTGCTTGTGGTACTGCTGCTACTCGTTGTAGTAGTAGTGGTGGTAGTAGTAGTACTACTTGTAGTACTTGTGGTAGTAGTAGTAGTACTACTTGTAGTACTGGTGGTAGTAGTAGTAGTGCTACTTGTGGTGCTGGTGGTGGTAGTGGTACTCGTAGTACTGCTACTGCTTGTAGTACTTCTACTTGTGGTACTGGTTGTAGTAGTAGTGGTACTTGTACTGCTGCTACTGCTTGTAGTCTTAGTGGTGGTAGTAGTAGTAGTGCTAGTTGTGGTACTGCTGCTGCTCGTAGTAGTAGTAGTGGTGGTGGTGGTCGGTATTGCTAAAATATAAAACAATTGTGCTTTACTAAGTTAAATTAGAGAGAATTTATACTAAAAACATTAATATGAGATCAAATAATTCAAGCAACATTTTATTTCGTTTCTGTCAACTTTTTGAATGACAGTCGTAAACAACTAACTATCAATTACAACTTTATGATGTACTATTATATACAAATAACTTACGGCAGCTGTTATTTTGAAGAGCGAATTGTTGCACTCGACTATTATTTCGATCAGTAACATATATATTTCCATAACTATCAAAAGCCATACTTTGTGGAAAAGATAGTTGATACATAGTCGAACCACCTCCGGAACATCCTACTAAACCAGGGTTGCCAAATCAAAATTTTAGAAATCAGGAGTTTCAAAAAAAAAAGCAGGAGTTTTCCAGGAGAATTTTTATCTAAAATCAGTAGTGAAAATCAGGAGACTTTTTTTAAAAGTTCAAGAGCCATTAGGTGTTTTTTACTAGATATGAAAATGTCTTTACTTTTCATATCGAAATAATGATGAAAAAATTTCTCATTACTATATTAAAACTAAAATGAATCGTAGTTCTATAATGTTTACTTTAACATTTATTTCATGAATAGCAATTATAATATGAAAAAAAAGAAAATCAAAGTTAACTTCTTGGTTAATACAAATCAAAACATATAATATAAAAAAATATATAATCAATTTTCTACTAAGCAATACGTGGAACTTTTGCAACATGGCTGTATTTATCTGACGATCGAATCTGTTTCAATATATCTGGTTTAGTTAAAAGAAAATCGTAAAACTCTGTGCAAGTAAAATGAGTATTCATTTTAATTTTCAACTCAGCTCCAACTAAATCATGTTTCATTCTGTTTCTACTGCTATTCCAAAGGTAGTTCATATGGCTAAATACTGTCTCGCAAAAGGCATTCGATCCAGGGATAGCAAATACAAACTCAACCAATTTTTTTAAATTGGGTACACATTCACCGTCGAGTAAAAATGCCCACGCATGATCACTTCTAGTTAAACTATTTGTTTTTTTATGTTTATAAATTTTCGCATCGGCTTCATCATCATCATCATCGATATCAGTATTATCTAGATTATCTAGAATAGAATCATAATCATCGCATAGATTTGTTTCATGATTAATTGATATTCCATTATATTTTGATGAACCTTGATTTAATAAAATAAATGATTGCACTTGATTACTAATTCCACCGAACTTTCCTTTCAAATTGATATACTTAGATTTAATATAGTTAAATTCATCATATAAATTATCTTGATCAATTGATTGATTAACAATAAAAGTAGAACATTTTTGAATGCTGCGCCAGTCGATTTTTTCAATATCGACTTCAGCGAAAACAGAAATTGATTGATAAAATGATTTATAGTCATTGTAATATTTCTCAATATAATCAATAATTGAACGAATAAATACTTTAAATGATTTTTTTAAATCATCAACTTGTTTTATTGGAGAATCTTCGAGTAATTGAGCAACTTTACAACCAAAAAACTCATCCTGTAAACGATTCTTTAATTTACGAAGTAAATTTGTGATAATGTCATGTATATTAACTCCAGTTGTATATTCACGTTGTAATACCAAATTTGCATTTTGTACGTCTGGTAAAACGCTTGCCAAAAAGTACAACGTACAGTCACCTATATAGATAAAAAAAATTAATATATACATATGTGTATGTTTTCAAGCCGATCATTACCTTTATGCGATGTAAAGAATTCTAACAATAACTGTGGACATTCTTCAATATCCAGATTCAAAAAATAACTTTTAACAACTGGATGAATTGCAATGAGACGTTCAATAGATTTTAAAAGACTCAACCATCTTATTTTAATATGTTTAAGTATTACCTAAATGGAATATATATATATATGTATATATTGATACAATATCCAAAATACGAATATGATTCTTTACTTTTTGCTCTTGTTCAATAAAATCAAAATAGTTCGCTAACTGTTGAACACGAACGGATGATCTGCAAAAATGAGAATATATTTTTAGTATTGTTGTTTCAATATCAAATAACAAATGTTGGTTTCCATGTTTTACAGAATTATGAAGAACGTGCGAATAACAAGTTCCTAGATCGAAAGAGTAATTATAGAGCAAATAAATTATACAAATTTTAATATTAGAATATGCTTTACCTTTTATTAAACCAGGTGAGAGCTTTTCGAATAAAGCAAATACACTGTGGTGATTGCCGACATTTACGTTGGTGTTATCAGATCCAATTGAAACTAATTGATTAAGTTTTAATTCATTTGCTTCTAATACATATTTTATATTAGCAAATAATGCATCAGCTGATTCATGTTGCTGCTCAATAAAGTCTAGAACACCATGTTTTACGCCGGTTTTTGAAAAAAATTGTACAACAATTGGTAGCATCTTGACAGTTCCTTTGTTTGAGGCGTCATGACAAACCGAGAAAAATGAAACATTTCGGAGTTCAATAACTATAGAATGTGTGAGTGATGGCGCAAGTACATTGCATGCTATTTCACGAGCCTAGATGATAAATATTAACTACCGTAGTTATATTTTAGTTTTAATAATATTATCCTTACTTTAGTTTTATCACAAGTAATGTTTTTTGCTAAAGATGAATCAGGCAAACATTTTCTAATCATATTGATCGTACATGCTTGAGAAATGTAACTGTGTGAATGTTTAACTGTATGAAATACCATAGCACCTTCAACGGCAGACAATCGATTGAGTTCGGTTGTTGTTATATTATATGTTAGATCAATTCTTGGTGCTGAAAAATATAGGAAAAAAAATTAGTAATAAAAATAATAGTGTTAAGTCTTACATAGATTAGTTTCAGCCGATTTTGTATGTTCTTTATGTTTTTTTGTTTGAATATGATAATTTATATCACCTATTCCGCTGTTTTGAATAGAAAATTTGACATTACAAGTAATACATAAAGCTTTTTTTGGATCAGTTTTACATTCACGTAGAAATGTAGAAAATTTAGGACAAGATAGCCATTCTTTTTTAAATTTTGACGAATAACGTTTATTTACTTTTGATGATGATGATGATATTTTATCAAATGTTGAATTTGAATTAACTTTTGATGAAAAGGAAATGGCATTATTTATAGATGCTGGTTCGAATGATTTCGAAAGATTATTATCCGATGATGATGATGATGATGATGATGACATGCTTGATATCTCAATAATTTCATCCAGCGACGAAGAAGACATTGAATATGAGAATTATGTATTTATTGACTATCTTGATTTTAGCAAGTAAAGGTGTAAAATTATTTGATTTAATTGAGAGATTATTTTAGTTTGGAAGAAAAGAAAAAAAAGCAATGTATTTTCTTATTGGCTCTGATATCCATTGAGTGCTGATAAATCTCTTCTTTCCTCTTTTAAATTTTTAATAATATAAGGTGTCGCTGATTGCTAACTGAAAAAAATTCAAACCAGGAGAAAACAGGAGAAAATTACAAAAATCAGCTCCTGAAATCAGGAGATTTTCCGCCAGGAGAAAAGTAAAAAAACCAGGAGAATCCTGGTCAAATCAGGAGGTTTGGCAAGCCTGTACTAAACATCGAAAACCAGTAGAACTTGAAGCAACAATACGATGATTATAACTATCGACAATAAAAAGATAACCATTAGCATCAAGGACAATTCCAGTTGGATAGTTGAGTGTAATATTTGCTGATGAACCATTACCAACGAGTGTCACTCCATCTAACTGACCAGATTGAATGAATTGAATACGATTATTAGCACTGTCTGCAATATATAGGTTTAAATTACTATCAACATAGATGCCTTGAGGAAAATTAAGCATATTTGATAGTGATCCAGCAGAACCATTCCCGGCTGCAATTGTCGGAATGGTTGTACCATTATTAAGTAAGAGTTTAACAACTTGATGAAGATTTTTAAGTGAACAATAAAGATTATTATTAATATCAATAAATAAACCATAACAACTTCCATTCACATTCATAACAGTAACACGATTTGATGTATTAAATATATATTTATCAACTCGACCATATGAATAACCATTATCAATATAAATATCACCAGTCATAGACATAAAAAGACTAAATGGATTACTCAAATTAGTATAACTTTTACTTGTTGATGAAGTACTCCATTGAGGCCATGATAAAATAGTGTTAGTAACTCGATTAGGTACATATATAGTATTAATTCCATTAATAAAAATACCATACGGTAATGTACCAATTGTACTACTTGATGCAAAATTTGATGCATTAGAATACCATAAAGCATTTGAGCAAAATGTTGGTTGATTATAATAGATACCTAAGATAAAATAAATTAAGACCATCGAAAAAATAAACTAAAAATAACTTACTACATGAATTTGATGCTAAGATAAACTTTTGTACTCGATAATTATATCTATCAGCAACAAATAAATTTCCATAACTGTCAAATCTTAAAGTTACTGGCGTATTCAATTGACTTGAACTGGAACCACTCCCTGTACATCCAAATAGACATCGAAAACCATATGGTCCCGATCCAATTATTCGATCATTATTAGTATCCGCAATAAAAAGATATCCATTACCATCTAATGCAATACCGTTTGGATTAGAAAGTGTAATAGTTCCTGGTGCACTTGCTCCTGCCAAAGTTATTCCAGTGGATTACCCAAAAGGAAACATTTGTATTCTATTGTTATCACAATCTGCAACATATAAATTAAATTTAGCATCGACAAAAACTCCAATAGGCATATTGAGTGTCGTCGCTGTCGATCCAGCTGTACCTGTGCCAGCAACAATAGTTGATATGAGTACACTATCATTCAACCATTTCTTAACAATTTGATGAGAAGTATACGCTGCACAGTAAAGAGTATTACTAATATCAACAAAAATACCAGCACACATATTAGGAACTGACATTACAGAAGTACTTATGTTTGAGTTTAATGAAAATTTATCAACTCGACCATTATGTAAACCATTATCAACATATACATCACCTAGAGGAGTAACGAAAAGATCATATGGTGAACTCAGACTACCAGATAGAATTTTATCTGGATTAATACTTCCTTCGAACCATACTACAACGTTATTAGTTTGTTGATTAGCTACATACACAGTATTATCAAGACCAACAAAAATACCATATACGTAAGTTCCAACCGTGCTACTATTAGCAAATGTAATTGCATTTGTATACCAAGTTGTAGATGGACAGAACCTTGGTTGATTAATAGTTGTACCTAAAAATAAAAATAAAGTAAAAATCATTGGTATTATTATTCCAACATCTTCATCGAATGAAATATTTCCTAGTAAAAAATATTAATAGTATGATCGATCTTAAAGAGATTTTAAGAGAGTTAGATAGTTTAATATAATCAGAATCAATTCCACTATTGTGTCTTGCACAAAAAAAGAAACTAAGATTGATTAATTCCAATAAATCTTTTCGATTAGATTTTATCGTAGCTATTAAATTTTATGAAAAAAAGCTTCTATTTTACTTACTATAAATATTACTTGTTATATAAAATTTTTGAATTCGATTGTTGTAGTTATCAACAACAAACATATTACCGTAACTATCGAAACTTAAACTTGTTGGATAATGCAATTGATTAGATGCTGAACCGGCAACACTTGAACATCCTAATAAACAACGAAATCCGTTTGGTCCTGATCCAACAATACGATTATTCAAATAATCTGCAATAAATACGTAACCATCTGCATCCAGAACAACTCCACTAGGACCATTGAGACTAATAGTTCCTGTTGCTCCAGTTCCTGCTATCGTTATTCCATTTACTTGTTGTGGTAGGAATTTTTGCACCCTATCATTGGTATAATCAGCAACGTACAAATTGAGATCTGTATCAACAAAGATTCCGCGAGGATTATAAAGCGTATTTGATGTTGATCCTGAGCAGTCTGTACCGGCAGCAACGATCCACATATCTGAATTACTATTTAATGATTTTGTAACAACTTGATGATATGTATATTGTGAACAATAAATATTATTATAAATATCAACAAAAAGACCATAACATGCGGCTTTGACAGTCATTACTGAAATACCAGCCGTTGTATTTACTGTCCATTTATCGACTTGACTATTTGAATTACCATTATCAACATAAACATCACCGTTAACTGTAACAAACATCGCATAGGGAGAAGATAAACCACCACTAATATTTCTTATAGGTACGGTACTATTCTCAAGCCATACTTGAATCATATTTTTAGAATATTCACATATATAAAGTGTATTGTTAGTATCAACAAATAAACCATATGGATTTGTTCCAATGGTAGTAGTGTTGAAAAGAGTTACTCCATTAGAACTCCAAGTAGCATAAGCACTGAATGTTGGTAAGTTGTATGAAAGAACTAAAAAAATATATTTAGCAAGGATTCTTTCAATTCTTAATAAATTAATCATTTGCTGTACCTTCAGCATTTTCCTAGATACGATCTAATTGAGGAGTAATATACAATGTCTATTCATATACTGTAATGGAATTCTTTCTATGATACTTATAAGCGATAGATTTTATTGAAAAACTGTACTGAAAATCTCGAGTATTTGTTTTATCTGTTCCTTTCATTTCTACTATACTAATCAGGTATGGTCGACTAATATTATTCTTACTTTCTATAGCTAGATTTGTTTACTTAACAAACAGTCCACTGAAAAGTATGATAAACTAATTAAACTTCATATGAATAATATGAAAAAATCTGAATGGAATTTTCGAAAAAATATTTTATAAACAACATACTTGTCGACGAAGATACACTTGTAGAATTTGTTCCATAGGTAGATGTTAATAAAGGAACTGATTGCGTACTATTCATCGGTGTTACTATTAAAAACAAATCTAAATTCATAGTAAAACAAAAATTAATAAGAAAATACCACTAGACATTGTTGTCGTTGATGTTGTTCCATCTATTAAAAAGAAATGATATAATTTTAGTTAATAAAATAAATGAGATTTATTTTCACTTACTGCATCCATTTGTTACTAATAAAAACTTTTGGATGCGACGATTGGCCTCATCATTAATAAACATATTTCCATAACTATCAAAACTAAGTGAGTATGGAAGATATAATTGACTAGATGATGAGCCAGAAGATCCAGAACATGCTGCTATACATCGATATCCATAAGGTCCTGAACCGATAACACGATAGTTATATTGATCAACAATAAAGAGATATCCATCAAAATCAAGAATAATTCCAGTTGGACGATTTAGTGTAATAGTTCCTGTTGTTATTGTAGTTCCATTTAATTGTCCTGATGCAAATTTTTGAATCCGATTATTATAACTGTCAGCCACGTACAAATTTAAATTATTATCGACAAAGATACCACATTGTCCATTAAGTGTAGATGGTGTTGATCCAGCAGTTCCTGTTCCAGCGACAGTATTCCAAATATTTAAATTTGTATACAATGATTTTGCGATAACTTTATTAGAATTATACAGTGAGCAGTAAAGCATATTATTAATATCAATAAAAAGACCATAACATGGTCCACAATTATACATTGCTGGAACACTACTTGTTGAATTAAATGCCCATCTATCCACCCGATTATATGTATTACCATTATCAACATAAATGTCACCATTATCTGTGATGAAAAGGCCATAGGGTGAATCTAAACCACCCGAGATAATACTTGTCGGTGTTGTACTACTATTAAACCAAATTAGCACGCGATCATTTGCTCTATCAGCTACATAGACTGTATTATTTGTATCGACAAAAAGTCCATGAACATTTGTACCAAGTGTAGCACTAGTAGCAAAAGTTATAGCTACAGGATTCCATGTTGCATTTGCACAAAATTTCGGTAGATTGTATGCGATAGCTACAGAAAATAAAGAAGATCATTATAAACCTAACGATAGACATTCTACATTCGATCAGTGTATTCATAATTATCTCATAGATATTTTTATTTTGAGAGAAAAATTGTTTCATGAAATTAAATGCCTTATTTTTACATTAAATACATTAACATTTTTAACAAAATGCATACCTGATGTTTGTCCAATAAATAGCGATAATAACCAAATATTGAGGAAGTTAAATAATTTCATATTATTTAAATGAAATTAAAAAGTTAATAGTTTCTATTATAAATATTTTTGTAGTAATATTTTTTCAATGTTTCTCTATAATGAACTAGAAAAAAAAAGAATTTTAAAATTTTTTAAAGATTATAAATTTTATAGTCTGACATAAGGGATGAATCATTTTAAAATATTACTGTGATGAATGGGAATTTTTTGAAAAACCAATTCTTATATTTTATCTTATCTGTATCGTATTTATAAACCTCAGTAATATATTAGTACGAAAGAATCTATTTTTTTACCTAGAAATATATCGAAGTTATTCTATTTAATTTTAAAAAAATGTAATTTGTTGTTCTTTTTCATTATTAACAAACGGTTAAAGAAAATGCAGTTAAAAAAAATATTCTATGAATAGATTTCTATTTAAATATTTCTTTTAATAATATTAAAAAGGAAAATGTTTGTTTGTTGTATTTTATTCTCTAAGCAATTTTCATATTCTAAAATCCAATTGTGCAACAAGAAAGATTTTTTTTAATATCCTATTTATGTGAGAGAGAATAATCATTTGTCATTCAATAACTAACGTTTGATTGAACTTCTGTATTTTTATCTTAAAATATCTGTTAAATCAATATTTTTCAAAAAAAAAAGACGCGAGAAAAATGTTTTTTTTCTCTATTTAATTAGTTATAAAATGTTGACATACGATTAAAAATAAATAAATCATTTTTACATTATATTTCTAAACCATCTGCATATTATTACTTATATAATAAAATGAAAAATACCCAGGAAATAAAAAATATGATAAAACGGATATTATTTTTGATTTTCAATGGTTGAAATAATAATTTGCATCAGTATCATTCCGTAGTTTTAATTTTTAACCAATTCTATTTAAAGATTTTCAGAGAAATTTGTATTTTAATTAATGAAAATGAAATCTCTCATAAATAGTGTCCGTTACATCATTTTTTTATAACACTACTACTATTATTATCTAATTTGTGAAGATTAATAATTATTTTAACTAAATAAAAGATAATGTAAGAATAATATAAATTCGTTTAAATAAATATTTAAAAAAAAAGAAGTGAAGATCTATATTTATATACCATCCTGAAGTAATAATAATCGAGATATTGCAGTATTTGATGATTTTACTCTTACTTAATGTTATTAAAATGAATAATCGTTTTATCGTAGTTATGAAAAGCTTACCTCTTTCAAGATTCTTTTGAACAATATGAATGAAAAATGTAATATACTAGTCTTCTCGAGAATGTCTAATAAATATGTTTACTCTGTAGCATACTATCACGTTGATGACGATTCTTTTTTCTTCTCTTATACTATGCTTGGTTTATCACTTGTAAAAATAAAAAAAAAGACGAAGGAAGATAGAAATACAACATTTAGAAAATATGTATTTTAAATCAAAGAATATCACTCAACAACGAATTAATAATCTATTATATTAGATCGAAATTCAGGTTAAAAATATATAATCATAGAAAGATTTAAATGAATTATCAATTTCTATATTTTTCTGTGTATAATTATCTGAGAAATAATGAATAGAAATCTCATTCGTAGAAAGTACATGATCATAGTATCGAAGTATCAACAAAAATAAACAAATATTATTCATAGATATAATTATATAGTTTCAGTGTATATTTTTTTCTCAAAAAGTTTATTTTAGATTTTCATTTGTAAAAACTCTTAGTAAGTAATAGAAAAAGTTGATTATTCAAACAGAACATTGTCGTCATCAACAAAAAGAAAAAAAAACTCTATGTGTTATTATAGAAACCATACAACTAAATGCATTCTGGCCTCTAATTACGATTTTTTTAAGTATAGGATCTTTTAATACACTGATCAGGGGTGTTCCGATTGGGAGCCGCGACGGCCCCCAAATCTTGAAAATCTGCCAAAATTTCTGAAAAATTACAAAAATGCTAGGAATATTTTTGAAACTTTTCAGAAAATCTCGCAAAACCCATCGACGACCCCCAATGTTTTGGACCTCGGGACACCCCTGATTACGTTGTTGCTTCTCATCATTGCTTCATGTTTGTAGAATGCACTTTTTCTTCTACTGATGACTAAATTGAAAAGATAAGCCATTCGATTTTTATCTACAAAAAAAAATAGTTTGAATGTATCTTAATCAAGAAAATGTAGAGGTGTAACTTCTAGTAGAATATTCATTTAACATTTTTTTAACTGGAGAAAAATAAGTTGGAATATTATGAACAGGCCGATTTTTTTATATTGTAGATAAATAGAAGTGCTTCAATCAATTGATGCATATTACATAGAACAAAAGTATAACGAATTTGAGCAATCAATTAAACTATATATCATCTAACAAAATCATTTTCTGCCATGTTTTTCTTTCAAATAAAATGTAATTTAATTTATTAAAAGAAACTTGTTATGCAAGTTAAGACAAAATAGTATTAATAATAAAATATAAATAGAAAATATTGTCAGATCGAACAAAACAGCTTTATATTTACAGTGTATGCCGTAGAAAATGACAATACTTTTAAATATACATATGTATTAGTTAATATTAGAAATACCATTAACATTAACTTTATTACGTACACATTCTGTATTATTCCCTGCTGAATTTTATTGTAAATTTTGGTCATTTATTAAATGGCATTAGTTTATATCTGATGACATTAGTATCAATTGAACGTTATTTACTTTTATTTTACAATTCATTCTGACGTCGCCATAGATTTCGTATACGTCTTTTACCTTTCATTTTTTGTTTTCTAAGTATTATTTTATTTTATTTTTTAACAATATTTATTTATGATTGTACAAATACTTGTAGTCCACAGAATTATTTATTAAATACTTATGATAAGATAGCTTATCAAATAATGCCAGTTTGCTTGATAGGTGTTGTTAATTTATTTACTATAATATAAGCCTTACGTCAAGAATCTAGAATGAAACAACAAAATTTATGGTTAAAAAGTCGTAAAATGGTCATACCGTTGGTTGGATTCCAACAATAATTTCAATATTAATATGTTATTTTAATTCAATATCAAATTCAAAATTAATATTTACTTATTGATTTATGTCCATTTTTTTGTTTAGTTGGTTTAACTGAAGCTCGAGATAGATTTCGACGTTTAATCTCATCGTACTGAAAGAATCGATTGAAAAATAATATGAGTAATTAGAAATCTTATAGAACATTTTATAATTAAATAAATAAAGTTTTTAAGAAAGAATTATACTACTTTTTAATTTAATATTCTGTACAATACAAAGCTGTCAGCACAATACCTTTCAGATTAAAATGTGAAACACGAAATAGTTTCTATAACGTCAGCTAATAGCATCTATTATATTGAGGGTGTGAAGCAAGGCGTATATATGGATGAATACAAGATCGATAGCTGCCCCCGCAACGCCTAGTTTTTATAGAAACAATCAGAAGATAAAAATACGATAGAAATATGCTAAAGTTAAATCTCTTTCAAACTGTGTTTTCATTTTGTAAATAAATCTGATCTCACGCAATCGATTCAATATAAATATGAGTTCAGAAGAATCAATTTTTCGTTAGTTTTCATCATGAAACTAATAATATATATATTTTCTATAGTACTGTTGTTATTTTAAATATGAACTCGCAAAAATTAGTCTCATCAAAGTGCACTAGTGGATTTTCCGGTATAAATTATATCATCAGACTACGTACTGTATATATATACCGGTTTTTCAATAAAACCAAAGCAACAAATAAATTAATTCTGTTGGTTATCTCAGTGTAGCCAATAACATAATCTTTTCCGTTCTCTTCCTTCGAACAAGTTATTTCATCACTATGAGAAATCTATGATATATCACAAGTATAAAAATACGTAAAACGAATGAAGCGAAGCATTATTACATTTCATTTTATCGACATAAAACGACACACAAGACCATTTCAATAATTTCAATCAATGTCGAACAAAATACCTCTTACTTTTCTTACATTACCGGTAGAACTTGTCTACCGAATTCTGGATTATCAGAGTGATTTAACAATGCTGTACTCAATGCAAAATGTGTGTCAACGATTCAATACAATCCTCGACAGTTACTATCGATACCAAGTAAACTTTTTTCAAATATAATTATCTATCTTTCCGCTATTTTTGAATTACTTCCTATTCTTATAATCTATCTCTCTGAGGAAATGCGTGAATACCATAATGACAAAGAATATTGATTCGTCAACTAATAATCTCCTCAAACGATTTATAAGCAGTACCGAAGCAATAGAAAAGAAATATGAAAATATTCATAAAAACAATCTTTTCTTTTCTTTTCTTTTCTAAATATTCCACTGCTCCCACATTGTTTTTACTCATCCATGTGCAATATTTAGAAGAGAAAGAAAAGAAGGAATTGCTTTTATCTGATTTTTTGCGTTGAAAGCGGGTTTTTTAGTAGAGACTAAAGACCTTATAGAAGTTGTAGGTGAAATAAATCAATTATCCTTCACCAGATTGCTTTTTCAGTCAGAAGAGTTCTAATATTATATTGCATACTACTAGTTTTTTTGTTTCATATGAACACATATTACTTCATACACGCTATACGTCAATTTAATTCGCGGCAGATGCCAGAATAAAGAAATGTGATAACACTTAAAGATTATACATATAGATCTTAAACATTTACACAGCTAAGAATAGCAGTACCACGATCCAGAAAATGGCTATCGAAAGAAAATTGAGAGAACTCAAGAAGTTTAAGAGACAGTAATAAGTTAGACTTATACCATCTTAAGACTCAAAGAACTGAAGAAATTCAAGAGATACTGATAAACGACATTTTTTTTACTGTTTGAAAATGCTGTGAACTTGAAGAAATTAAAATGAATTTGAAAGATACTGATACGATGAGACCATCCGACAAGATCCAACAGGAATCCGAGAAACAGAAAAACACTGGATTCTGCTAGCTCAAACCTGAGGGCAGATTAGACAACGTTCGCGTGACTGTAGGAATGCACTAACCATAAAAAACCATGTGAAGACAATTAAATTTCTTGAGTTACTACAACTACTACATTTTGTAGAATTTCTTAGATCTTCTTTCAAACCAACGAGTTTTCTTGGAAAGACTTAATTCTACCTATTATTATCGCTTGAATTCCTGCAATTTTATTAATTTTTCCATTTCTGGATCATATGTACATCTTCTTAAGAGAAAGTAATCATCAAAAAGAAGAATGAAACAACCTTTTACAGATATACGGCAAAATTTACTGAAGAACTACTAAACTGTAAATACTTTTCTCTTACCTAAGCATCAAAATGGAACCTTGTTTACTAGTTCACTAAATTCAGCATCTATATTATACTGTCTCAGTTTTCAATAACAATATAGAACAATTTGTTGACGTATAATATTCTAGAAGCTTCTTCGATCTGACTTGATTAATTGAATATTACTGAACAGTCATTCAGTAAAAAGAGGTGTATATGTCGAGCAATATCTGGTCATAAATTTCATCCGCAATGACACGAGTGACTTCTTCTCTCCCATAATATTTTCCTCAATGTTCCAACTCGTGCAAGTACAGGTTTCCAAAGAAAAGAGAACCTCCACTTTTTTTATCCTCATTCTTCTTCACAAGATTTGACTAACGTCTTATAAAACAATACGGTAACTCATCGTCTCTCTCTATCTATTCAATATATTCCACTATACTATTTCATACAGACACTTACCACATTACATCGCAAATGGCCTAAACTCGGAGATGTTGGAGCACAACACCTAGCAGATGCATTACGCAATAATAAGGTAAACATCATTCTGTTCCATATCTATCGTATATATATATCAATCTGAACCTTTTTGTGTAGACACTTACCACCTTAAGTTTTGAATACAATGAAATCGGAGAAGTTGGAGTACAACATCTAGCAGATGCATTACGAAATAATACGGTAAATATCATCTGCTTCCTCATCTATCTTATCTATATATCTACACTTTATCGTGCAGACTCTTACCAAATTAAATCTCGACTCGAATAAAATCGGTGAGGTTGGAGCACAGCATATAGCAGATGTATTACGAAACAATAAAGTAAATATCATCTGCTTCCTCATCTCTCTCATATAATCATCTGCACTTTTCTTGCAGACCCTTACCGAATTAAATCTCGGAAGCAATAAAATTGGAGCTGATGGAACGCACTATCTAGCAGATGCATTACGAAATAATACGGTAAATATCATCTGCTTCCTCATCTATCTTATCTATATATCTACACTTTATCGTGCAGACTCTTACCAAATTAAATCTCGAATCGAATAAAATCGGTGAGGTTGGAGCACAGCATATAGCAGATGTATTATGAAATAATAAAGTAAATATCATTCTGTTCCACATCTATCTTATATAATCATCTGCACTTTTCTTGCAGACACTTACCGAATTAAATCTCGGTGACAATCGAATCGGAGATACTGGAACACAGCATCTCGCAGATGCATTAAGAAATAATACGGTAACTATCATTCTCCTTCTCATCTATTTCATATATTCATCTGTACTTTTTCTTGCAGACACTTACGACATTAGATCTCGGATTAAATCAAATCGGAGATGTTGGAGCACAGCATCTAGCAGATGCATTACAAAATAATACGGTAAGTATCGTTCTCTTTCACATCTATCTCGTCTATTCATCTACCCTTTCTCGTGTAGACATTTACCACATTAAAGCTCTGGTGCAATGGAATCGGAGATGTAGGAGTTCAACATCTAGCAGATGTATTACGAAATAATAAGGTAAATACTATTTTGTTCCACGTCTGTCCTATATGTTCATCTGCACTTTTTCATGTAGACACTTACGACATTAGAACTCAAAATAAATCAAATCGGAGATGTTGAAGCACAGCATCTAGCAGATGCATTACAAAATAATATGGTAACTATCATTCTCTTCCACATCTATCTTATATATGCATCTGCACTTTTTCTTGCAGACACTTACCGAATTAAATCTCCTGGGCAATCAAATCGGAGAGAAACTCCAGGTTGAACTCGATGAGTTCATTCATCAGAACAACAGAGCAGCAAAGTTGTAAATGATGATATCGACGATAGATTGATCACTGGGAGAAAACTGTTGATGAATTTGTGCATGAGTTTCTTTGTTGGGTATCATCGTAACTAAATATAAATAGAACTGTTTTATTTTATGTGTGATTTGTACTATAAGCATATTATTGGGATAGGTTTTTTATTGATATGTACTGGTCTTTAGATGGAGCATGTTTTATGATGATATTCATGATGATTGAATGTCGATTATAGTATGCTACGAAATTATATATAATTGAATCTCGTTGTTTGAAAAAGGACATATGCTATTGATAGTCGTCGATCGATATCTTGTTTATTAACTGAGTTAATTAAGGGCTGTCAGAAAGTGTCTGTGCAAAGAAGAATATTGGTAAGATAAATACTGTTCAATATGTATTTTATTGCAATAAATTTTGAGAAGTGTAGGTGTGGGTATGGAGTATATAAAAGTCAGACTAGCACCCACACCCTGCCTCGACTGATGATTATATCGAGAAGGTACTTATGTTTGATTCTGATGAAAAACTTCTTATGCGATTGGCAAATGAAATAGCTAAACATTTAAAGAAACGAAGCAGATAAATATAAAAAATTAGGTGAAGTAAATAAAGTAATTGGATTCCTGAATTGAGCCGATTGTTCATATAATGATTCGGACACGCTTCAACCTGTTAATTGTCGAAAGATTCTTGCAGATATTCAAAATCGATTTGTGAAAAAAACAATAGATTATATATTGAAATAATTCTCTGAGTTTTTATTTTTTCTCGATAAAAGATATATGTTTAAGTCAATAGTGAACTCTATCGATAGAATTTATAAATGGACAAGTAAACAAAGAATAAAAGTGAACATATAATTATACAGTTAATAATGATTGAAAAGAAGTGTCTTTGAATTTACTGATAGAGAAAGAAAAAAATCTTTTAAATTATTTATTGCAATTGAAATCAATAATTATCTTCAAAAATATTCTTTTTTCATGTAAAATGGCAATAAATAAACAAGAAAAAATTCTTATTAATTTAGCCGGCGATGTTATGATTGGTTAGATTTTCTTTTAAACTGAATATTTTCAATAAACATATGATTTTTAAATTATTAAAGGCCGTTTAATTGATCAACTTCTTCCAACATCTGTTCATAATCCTGAAGAAGCAGCTTTCGTTCATCAATTTCGTTTATCTCGAAGTCTACATTGTCCTTATTTACAAAAAGGTAAATATAATTATGAAACTATTTGGGGAAATACTTTACCATTATGGAAAGAGGTGAATGCAAAACATAATACACTTCTTTTTGAAAAAAATAATTTTTATTTAAGGGAAATTTAAATATTATTAATTTGGAAACATCTGTAACAACCCATGATGAACTTTGGCCGGAAAAAGTTTTTAAGTAAATCATTCATTTCTTTTATATGATATTCTATCCTTTTATTTTTTCTTATTTAGTTATCGTACTCATCCTGATAATATAGCTTGTCTAACAACAGCTAATATTCATCATGTTTCACTTGCTAATAATCATACGTTAGATTTTGGAATTAAAGGTCTTGAAGAAACATGTGATAGTCTAGAGAAATCTGGTATATCTTATGTGGGTAAGTAAGTTTTAACAGTTAATAATAGCCAATAATACTTGAACCATTTTCGATAGAAATATCAGAGCGATATAGATTCTGTCGTTAGATAATGATGATTTTTATCTAAGTAACTCATAAAAATACACATTGCTATGTAATACAAGTTGCGAAGATATCTATATAAAAAGAAGCTGTTTTTACAACCTCGATAGAATTAAATCGTTAAACTCAACCAAGGTGTCTACTTACATTGTAAATAAAATGATACTGTAGTATAATTATGATCAGATAAATCAGTCGATAATCGACAACGATTTCATCACTAGATTTTCGATAATGTTGAATTATTATTTTTTATATAGGTGCAAGTAAAACACGTCAACATGCACTTGGACCAGTTTACATTGATATTCCAACAACAATTAAAAAGTTAAAACCTGTTCCTATTAGTTCAACTACACCTCGTTCTTCTACATCAATTAGAATTGGTCTACTTTCTGCATCTGACCATCCATCAGATTGGTCTTCTGTTCCTTCATTTCATTTAATTACTTATGATCTTCCACAACTTTATACGCAACTTGCACCTCTCATTGCCACGGCACGTTCAAATTGTGATTTTGTTATTTTTTCTATTCATTGGGGTCCTAATTATCAATGGATACCCGATAGAAAAATTCAAGAACTCGGTCGTTGGATGATTAATGAAGGTGTTGATCTTATACATGGACATTCAAGTCATCATATACAAGGTGTAGAAATTGTTAAACGTCAAAATCAAACGTATGGTTTAATAATCTTTGGTTGTGGAGATTTTCTTGATGATTATGCAATCGATAAACAATATCGAAATGATCTTAGTGCACTATTTCGCTTAAATTTATCAATATCATCATCAAATTCAGATAAGAAAAAATCAATTTATCTTCATTCACTTTCAATTTTTCCCGTACGATGTTCGAATTTTCAAGTTAATCGATTAGAAAAAGAAGATACTGATTGGATCTGGATTCAACAAAAACTGGTGCAATTAAGTAAGATCGATAATAAAACATGGACAATTGGTGAAGATAATAATATAGTACTTGATATTCATTCTTAATTTTATATAAAATAAAAATGAACTTTTCTTCTTGTTATTATACGTTGATATATATAAGAATGCATTACATATTACGAAAAAAATAACATCAAAGAATTAAATTATACAGTCAAAAACATTCGACAAGATGTTGTTTTTCTACAAAGTTGCTCAGCTTGCAATATTCGTTTGTAAGTGATTTACATAAATAATTAACATTACATTTTGTAGAATATTTCGAAAAAAGAATCAAGTGTAAACCTCAAAGCATTAATTACAATCTTTTATAAAATATTAAGAAGTTCATTATGTTGTATGTCATATAATAAATTCTTCGTAAAGAACACGGATGTCATTTGCCTATTACGTTAGCATATTCTGTAGTTTAGGGACATACTGCGCGTGTCATATTTATATTTCCTCCTTATCTATGGGGTACTTTACATTTTTACTGACTTGGTAAGAACATCGTTCGTAATTAAAATAAAAAAGGAAAACTGCTTGCTGGATTGATCCGTAATTAGATGTCAAGCGCAGCTTTGTCAGAGAAGGCATTTTGTTGATTGAACCAATCTGAAAATTAATAGAAGTTCTATTTTACTTGAGAAATAAGCGAGAAGATTTTCATTAAAATCTGATTAATAAAATCAACTCAACTAAAGAGATTATATCATTTAGTCAGTTAAAGTACATTTAATGTGTTAAGCGAAAAACAAATTCTAATATAGATTGATTACGCATATGCAAATAAAGTCGAGAGATATTTATCTTGATCATAATCAATAATAATTTTCACATTTGGATGTTCACTAATCTTTGATCCCCATTCTTTTGTCCTTTCATCCATGTATAATCTTACATCTTTCCATTGACCAATAGAAATATCAATAGCACAACAAGCAGCTAATGGATCATGAAATGCTTTTTCTATTTTACCAGCTCGATTTAAATAAACAGACATGACATGATACATTTCATGTAATGATTGACTTCGATCTTTAACTTTTTCAAGTTGTTTATGAGTATCATTTGTATATAAAACACCATGACAAACATTTTTTGATACAAAAAATTTCTCTTTAATACCATTGAAATCCAAAACAATCTTAGCTGCTTTTGGATCTGAAGTTAAATTAAATGTTGGACATGTTATTCTTCCATTGAATTTATTCAAACGTTTATCTTCGGGTACGATGTTATCACCAGCAAATCCACCTTGAGCAACCAATCGACCAAGTTTAAATTGACCAGTTTGAATAGCTTTTGCAACATTTTTTAATGGTCCTCCACAAATTAAAATTGTTTTTTCATCACAATAAGTAAGAAGAACATCACTACCATCGAGTGCGTTTCTTGATTCACGAATAATTTCAGGTGCATAGATTTTCAAATGAAATTTCGATAGTGCAGGTTTTGCATTCATATTAAATACACCAAGTGGTATATCATTTCGATTGAAACGATTGAGAGCATATCGTATAAAACCAATTTGATCAGGAGTACCAGGAACAATTGTAATAGCTTTTAAATGTACTAATGGATGACCAAGAAGAAAAATAAGAGTAACAAAATCATCTGGATCACCAGTTTCCATATCAAATACTACTTGTAGACGTCCATCGATTATAAATGGATTGCAATCAGATGAAAATGTGTGTAAATCAATACTTGTTGCCATCATAGAGACTATTATGACTACACTGATGTTAACTACTGTTTTTATACCACAAAATTTCTTCTATGTTATGAAATTTTGACTTTCTTTTTTCAATCATCATGCTGTCATTGCAGTTATGAAATTTCTTCTGTTCTATAGAAAACGATGAATCACTTCAAATAAGGAAAGGAAAGGAAAGCAAATTACCGTTCTATAGTATGTAAACACTGTTTTTTTAACATGGGATTTTTTTTATCAGGTTAAGAAATTATAACTACTTCAAATGTTCTATATCAGCTTATGCATTATCAAAATAAAAATAATTGTCTTAGGAAGATAGTGATGTGAACGTTAGCATGTTTAAATCACATACATAAACGAGCGAGTATACCTAGACATAAGTGTAACGCGTGATAAATATAAGAGAAAAATATAATTTTTATTCAATTTTTATGGGAAAACGTGGATGTGCCAAAACTTAAGATTAAATTACATCTTAAGAATATATTAAAATGTCCGATATATTTTATTTTATATAGCAAAACAACACACTTCTATATTTGTCTTTTGATAAAGGTTAGTAACAGATAAGCGGTCACCTAGATTTATATATATATCAATTCTTTTTTCTTATCATTCTTTAACAAAATATTTTATCTTTTAGAATACAGTATATTTAGTGATAATTTTTCATCGTTACACATCGTTAGAACCTTCATAAAACAAGCATATTTTATTAATGTAATTGTCTTTTTTTTTCAATAATTTATTTTTTATTCGATTTTTTCAAGGGATCCACGATTTACTAATGAAACCCTTGCATTTCTTAATATACTTTCAAAAAATTCTCCACCTCAAGGTACTACTCCCGAAGTTGGACCAATGCGGCAGCTGATCGAACATTATCATCATAAATCGAATGAAAAATTGTATGGAACATTTAAAGGTACTCTGGAAGAAAAAACGGTGAAAACCAATTCTACAGGTAAATATTAAATTTCCATACATATATCTATGTAGTTCTGTTGAATGAACTAAATTCTTATTAAAATATGTCTCATTTAGAAACTCCAATTACTATCTATACACCAACAGATGTTGACAAAAATAAAATAGTTGTATTTTTTCATGGTGGAGGTAAGTTTATACAAAAAAAATTAAACTTTGTATATCTATTATATATAATAGGTTGGGTTATTGGTAGTCGAAAGTCACATCAAACAATTGTCAATACTTTAGCGGAGTTAGTTGACATTTATTTTCATACATTTTTATCTATATCATTCTATAGTGCAACAAAAACTATTTGGATATCTGTAGAATATCGTCTTGCACCCGAACATAAATATCCAGTTTGGCTTGATGATACATGTGATGTTACACAATACATTATTGAAAATAAAACTTCGTTTGGTACGATTTAATTCGAATAATTTTGATATATCTATGATTGAATTTATTTAGGTGTTGATGAAACTGCTAAAATCGGTGTTGCTGGTGATAGTGCTGGTGGAATGATCGCCGCATCAATTGCACGTACAATTAAAGGCATTGATTTTCAAGTGTGAATTTATTTAATTAGTATTAGATGCATTTGAAACTTCTGTTTATAATAGATTTTAGTTTATGGAGCATTAGATATTCTTCGTGAAACACCATCGTACAAGGAATTTGATCATCCAAAGTATTTTCTTACAATAGAATTAATGAACTGGTAAATATATATTCAGAAAATAGTATAAAAATAATATTCATATTGATTCATAGGTTCGTAACACATGCATTTGAGCCTTCACAAGAGCTGAAAGATCCACGAATATCCGCTCTATTGAATACATCATTGGCAAATGTACCACCATGTTTATTTATTGTTGCTGATTTAGATCCCCTTCGAGATGGCAATTTAGGTATAAAAAGAAAATAAAACAGTTACATTTTCTATGAACTCTAAAGTTATCTTTTAGAATATCATAAATTACTTGAAAACGCTGGTGTACAATCGAAACTATTACTTGTGAAAGGGGTTATTCATGGATTTTTTTCTTTGCCTGGTAAATGATCGAAGAATATTCTTTTAAATTAAATTATTGATTTTCGTTATTATCATTTAGGAATCTTTCCACAAGCCTGTGCAGAATCAATTAATGCAATTCAAGACTTTATGACATCGATCTAGAATGACTAACTTTCTTTATTCTTGCTTATATGAAACAAAAAAAAATTAGTTATCGATATCAATTTTCTATCTATCCCGAAGACCAAATGATTTTCCTAGCTTTAGTTTTATTTTCTATATTTCGATTCTTGCGTTTTGTCCATTATAAAATATATTCCATAAAGCAAAGAAGAAACTAAAACAATTTCAGGCATAAAGAATTTTATCCTGGGTGTGGGTATTGTATTTACCTATCATTCACACCTACCCTCAAGAATATGTTATTTAACTAGATTTAAAACTTTTGTAGTAATCATTTTTATTAAATAAAAAAGAAGCTAAATATCTTTAATTAAAACGTTAATCGTCTTCACTGTGTTCGTCACGAAATGTTGAATGTGCGTGTGAGTGTGCATGTGAATGTGAGTGTGAGTGTGGTTGTGAATGTGAGTGTGGTTGCGAGTGTGAGTGTGAGTGTGCGTGTGCGTTTGGGTGTGATCGTTTTTGTGAAGAATTAACTAGAATTTCTTTAATAAAATGTTGAGGAAAGTATTCTGTAACAAATCGTTGAATATGATGCTTATTTTTTAAAATTCAAGAAAAACTTTATCTTTTTCTTGTGTATTCATCCGAGTATAACCATCACTAATCCTTGTTTCATTAAATGCTTCTTCATATAATTCAAGTGTTTTTTCAATTTCAACTGCTATTGGTCTCTGTTTACTATCCGTTTCTAAACATTTCACAATAATTTCGTCATAAAAAACTGGACTTGGTTTCGTGATTATTATACGTGATGTGGAATGATCGAAATGAAAATCATGCATTGTTTCTGTAAATAATTGATTTAATGTTAAACCATATGTATATATATCTAATTTCTCGTCACATTTGATATGTCCTTCGGATTGTTCATGAAAAAATTCAGGTGGCATAAACTGTAAACATCCTAATTGAGTTTGTTGACCATTAGGATCAATAACTCGAGCTATACCCATGTCACCAATCTTCGCAACATAATCATCATTTACAAGTATGTTATCAGGTCGAATATCACGATGTACCATTCCATGCTGGTGAATACGTTTCATACCTGATGCAATTTGACGAGCCATTGTTAGTCTACGTCTTAAAGATATATTATGTGGTTCCTTCTCGAGAACATTTTGTAAACTTCCACGTCCCATCAGTTCCATTAAGATCATAAATTGTGTTGTTATTCCACGAATATGATTTGCTGGCAACTCTCGAGTGGCATAACCAAATGTTCGAAGAATATATAAACCTGATAATTCTCGATAAGCAGCTAATTCAAGATGAAAACTTCGTTCAAGTGTATGAGAGATGGCTGATGCACCAGAGACTTCAATTACTTTACAAGCAACTTCACGATTCCTTGATCGCCAAATTGCTTTACATACATATCCTATTATAGAAGTATATATAAAAATTATTCAATATATAATTGTAATCAAACTTACCAAACGCTCCTCTTCCTAAAATTTCTCTAAATTCAATATCAGTTGGATCAATTTTTGGTATAAAACTGTTCGAAGTTAAAATCATTGGATGATTTCTTTCATGTGATTTTGTACAAATATGTTTTTCAATGGCACATGTTTCACATAGATTATAATTAGGACATGCATCACATTTAAAACGTAAACCATAAAAATGTTTTTGTTGACAAGTGCCATCACATTTAATTCCTTTATGATGTTCATTTTGAAGAGTACTTAAGTGTTTTAATTTATGTAAAGTAACTTCATTGTTAACATTATGAACTGGTATACCTAAGAATTCATTAGGTAGTTTAAACTGGACCATAGCATGACCACTAGAATGATGTTCTGTTTCACGACGTTTCTCAAAACAACGTCCACATAAATCATAGTTTGACGATGATGGACACTCTAAACAATGATATCGATCAACATGACGAATTGGTTTCATTTTACAAGATGCACATTCAGCATCATGAACATCTTCATCTTTTTGAGAACCATTAGAACTAGTTGGATGCATTAATTTTCCAACAATTTTCATTAGCATCATATCGTCAACACGCTGATCAGAACCTTTTTCAACAGGAGAATCTAAAAAGAAGATTTGTTTGAAAAAGATATTTATGAATATTTTTTGTTTACGTGTTGCATGAGTTTTAGATCCATAATGTACATGTGTACGATGACTTGATTCACAATGTTCTTTCGTACCTATAATAATGATTGATATAAATAAAAATAAAATTTTCAGATAAATCAATTCGATCTAACGACAGATTCACTGGTGAATATGATTGTCAAGCTTAAATATTAAACTCCTTAAGAGTTAGCAAGTAAGATTTGTGTGACGATTTGTATCGAATACTTATAGTAATAATAGCTTTTATGAATCGAACACAAGATGACCTTATACAAGAAAATAGTAGATATAAATTTCAAATCTTTATTGTGTAACAAGTACCATAAGCTATACGAGCTTGAACTAATCCTGGAAAATCTTAGAATGCTGTTAGGATAATTTCTACAGAACTAAATGTAAAACATGATCGAGTGTACATGATATATGAGGGATACGGAATCTAATTTTGCACTTGTATGCACTTCAACATGCCTTTCACATCGTGTAAATGTGACAATTGCCACCAATTAGTTCCTGGTGACCTGCGAATGGTCATAGGAATGCAACGGTGACAGTTCACCATCGAAAGCCGCTGTGCATCGGTACATATACTAATCACCAGAAATATGTGAGCCCTCATATCTCGATTCTAGAGTATAAAGTGATGTGATGAGTGAGAATGAGATCAATTCTGATCGACATTTCGAGGTAGGCATATGAAACTTAAATATTGATATGAGAACTCAGACAATCTATCGAGGAAAGAAATATGCACCAATTTGTTATTATTGTATTCCTGTACAGTCAAGTAGATGATATTATTTAATCGAAAGCTATGTTCAGTACGTTGTTCGAATAAAGTGCTTCTCTATTATGAGCAGGTATCTATACGAATATTTCAAGAGAGCTTTTTTAAAACTTTAACTTAACAAAAGGGTTATATTACCTGTCACAAGAACTGTTCCATTCCGTCCAACACCATTAATAAAAATAGTGTATGTTACATTTGTATGAACAATTCCTGGTGGCGATACTTGGATATATCTTTGCGGGATAACTTCAGTTTGTTTCGTGTCTGACCATTGAACTTTGCAATAAAGTTCATGTTCACGTTGTTGTTCGAAAAATGCTAAAAAAAATGAATTGAAGTAAAATTTAGCGTCATATTTTTTTTACCAAGTTTCTCGATCACTGCGCTTCGTATGTCTTGCATCATGTGATTTGATACAGTAAGTAAAGATATGAATAACAACTAGACTGAGAGCTGAAATAAACGGAAATAAATAGAAAAAAAACAGGAGAACGAAAACAAAAAACCCTTTTTTTTAATTGTTTATAGGCAGTTTTGTGACAAGATGATATCATAAAGTACATCAAATGATTTCAATCAAGTCATAATTTACATGCACATACGTAACCAATTGACGTAGGTGTAAAACATGTTTTATTATTTTTACCTATGACTCATATATGTCACTGATTACAATTAAACTTTTTTTTCTCGAACAATATCATTCTTCTCAAATATATCTCGAAGAATTTCTTTATAAATAACTCATCAACAATATTCCCAGTAATAGTAAAACTATTCTTTGGTTGTTTTCCTTGGTATTTACAAATCGGGCTTTTTTATAAATGTATTTGTAGTTTATAAATATATGAACGATTTATAAACGAATATTAGATAAATAAATGCTAGTATATTGTATAAGCATCTGACTAGTTCACGAATTTTAAATTGGTTGATAAACCAAAATGATTAAATTATCTTTATCGTTTTAAGTGTCAATATGAGTATATAATATCCTCATGGTGGAATATGATTTTACCAAATTTAAAAGTACTATTGCCACGAATTTATAGTAAACATTTACGCAGCTTTGAATTTCAACCCGATTTCTAAATCTCGACGCTATTTAAAAACATTTTAAATTTTTGACAAAAACATTTCGGACTCAACAGGGATGTACGCATATTTTTAAATGAGAATGTGAATACCAGTACACAGAAATATTAATATAATTGATAAATCCTAATAAATTTTTGAACTCTCTTTTAGAAAAAGCTCAGAGTAAACACGATAGTAGAATATGTTATTTAAATAGATTTAATTTTTTTTTGTAGTAATCATTTATATTAAATAAAAAAGAAGCTAAATAATTCTAATTGAAACGGCAATCGTCTTCATTGTATTCGTCACAAAATGTTGGGTGTGGGTGTAGTTGTTCTTGTTTATGTAAAAATTTAACTAGAATTTATTTAATAAATTGTTGAGGAAAGTATTCTGTAACAAATCGTTGAATATGATGCTTATTTTTTCGATAAAATTCAAGAAAAACTTTATCTTTTTTTTTTATACTCAGTCGAGTATAACTATCACTAAATCTTGTTTCACTAAATGCTTCTTCATATAATTCAAGTGTTTTTTCAATTTCAATTGCTGTTGGTCTCTGTTTACTATCCGTTTCTAAACATTTCACAATAATTTCATCATAAAAAACTGGACTTGGTTTCGTGATTACTATACGTGATGTGGAACGATTTAAATGAAAATCATGCATTGTTTCTGTAAATAACTGATTTAATGTTAAACCATATGTATAAATATCTAATTTCTCGTCAAATTTAATATGTCCTTCGGATTGTTCATGAAAAAATTCTGGTGGCATAAATGGTAAACATCCTAATTGAGTTTGTTGACCATTAGGATCAATAACTCGAGCAAGGCCCATATCACCAATTTTAGCAACATAATCATCATTTACAAGAATATTATCAGGTCGAATATCACGATGTACCATTCCATGCTGATGAATACGTTTCATACCTGATGCAATTTGACGAGCCATTGTTACTTTATGTCTTAAAGATACTTTATGTGGCTCATTCTCAAGAAGATCTTGTAAACTTCCACGTCCCATCAGTTCCATTAAGATCATAAATTGTGTTGTTGTGCCACGAATATGATTTGCAGGCAACTCTCGAGTGGCATAACCAAATGTTCGAAGAATATATAAACCTGATAATTCTCGGTAAGCAGCTAATTCAAGATGGAAACTTCGTTCAAGTGTGTGAGAGATGGCTGATGTACTAGAAACTTCAATTACTTTACAAGCAACTTCACGATTCCTTGATCGCCAAATTGCTTTGCACACATATCCTATTATAGATGTATATATAAAAATTATTCAATATATAACTGTAGTCAAACTTACCATACCCTCCTCTTCCTAAAACTTCTTTAAATTCAATATCTGATGGATCAATTTTTGGTATAAAACTATTCGATGTTAAAATCATTGGATGATTTCTTTCATGTGATTTTGTACAAATATGTTTTTCAATGGCACATTTTTCACATAGATTATAATTAGGACATGCATCACATTTAAAACGTAAACCATAAAAATGTTTTTGTTGACAAGTGCCATCACATTTGATTCCTTTATGATGTTCATTTTGAAGGGTATTTAATTGTCTTAACTTTTTTAAAGTAACTTCATTATTAACATTATGAACTGGTATACCTAAGAATTCATTAGGTAGTTTAAACTGGACCATAGCATGACCACTAGAATGATGTTCTGTTTCACGACGTTTCTCAAAACAACGTCCACATAAATCATAGTTTGACGATGATGGACACTCTAAACAATGATATAGATCAACATGACGAATTGGTTTCATTCTACATGATGCACACTTTGCATCATGGACATCATCATCTTTATGAGAACCATTGGAACTAGTTGAATGCATTAATTTTCCAACAATTTTCATTAGCATCATATCATCAACACGCTGATTAGCATCTTTTCTAACAGGAGAATCTAAAAAGAAGATTTGTTTGAAAAAGATATTTATGAATATTTTTGTTTACGTGTTGCATGAATTTTATACCCACGATGGGGATCTTTGTGATGAGTTGATTCGCAATGTTCTTTTGTGCCTATAACAATGATTGATATAAATAAATGTAAATTTTCAGGCACATCAATCTGATTGTCAAATTTACATATTAAAGTCTTTAAGGGTTAGCAAGTAAGATTTGTAGGACGATCTCTATTGAATACTTCTATCAGTGATATCTTTTGTGAAACCGACACAATATTACTTTATACAAGAACATAATATATATAAATTTCGAATTAACCTGAGTTCAATCTTCGAAAAAAAATCAAAAGATGAAATAAAGATCCGGAAAACTTGGACTCGATAATCTCTAGACAGTTCACTATCGAAAGCCGATGTGATGAGTGTGTATGAGATCAATTCTGACCTATATTCTGACATAGGCACATGAGACCCAAATGTCGACATGAGAACTCAGATATCCTATTGGGAAAAGATATATGTACTAATTCATAACGACTGTCAATGGAGTAATTCTCGTTTCTTGCTGATTTTGGGTGAAATAGTTATAGATTTTCGCTGGTGTTCGTTATTGTGAGCAGAAATCTATAAGTATATTGTTGACACTGAGAAAAAATATTTCAAGAGAGATAGTTTTAAACTTTAATTTAACAGAAGGTTCGTATTACCTGTCACAAGAACTGTTCCATAACGTCTAGAACCATCAATAAGAATAGTGTAAGTTACATTTATATGAACAATTCCTGATGGCAATAATTGAATATATCTTTGTGGAATAACTTCAATTTTTCTTGTGTCTAACCATTGAACTTTGCAATAAGGTTCATGTTCACGTTGTTTCTCTAGAAATTATATGAAAAAATGACTTGAAGTAAAATTTTAGCACTATTTTTTTACCAAGTTTCTCGATTAACGCGCTTCGTACATGTTGCAACATGTGTCTTTATACAGCAAGGAAAAATATGAAGAACAACTAGACTGAGAGCTGAAATAAACGGAAATAAATAGAAAAAAATCAGGAGAACGAAAAGAAAAAAATCATTTTTTTAAATTGTTTACAGGCAATTTTGTGATATGATGACATCATCAAGTGCATCAAATAATTACAATCAAGTCATAATTTACTCCCACATATGTACTCAAATGACGTAGGTGTAAAACATATTATATTATCTTCATCTATGACTCATATGTCACTGACTATGATTAATCTTTTTTATCAAACAACATCATTCTTCTCAAATATAACTCGAAGGATTTCTTTAGAAATAATTCATCAATAATATTTCCATTCATAGTAAAACTATTCTTTGATAGATTTTCTATGAATACATATATATATACATAATTATACTAAGTAAATAGATCTTTTTTTATCAACAATATATCAAAATGTATGATTTCGAAAAATAAAACTATGTTGAGGGTTGGGTGCAGTATAAAGATAGTATTAACATTCTCACTCACACTCACACCCTTCTAAATATTTTTAGTTACTCCTGTTTCATATTTATGAATTAAACTCTATGTATAACATCTTTACTGACTTTAACTAAAATAATATTGGTAATGGTTAGTTTGTAACTTCAAATTATCTAAAAAACGATTCTCATAAAATTACAAAAGATATTTTCAGATTTTTTATTAGTTGTTGATTTTTTTTAACAGGCTTGCTTAAAATAGTAGTATCTACATAAAAGTGTTTACATTGAAAAATCTGCTTTTTCCGCGTGGTTTTATATGATCCTCGATACATGTTATATGCATATTTTTGAATGAGAATGTGAATATGCCGAAATATTGATACACTTAATAATTTCTAATAAATTCTCGAAGTCGCTCTTCAAAACAGAAACTTAGAGTACATGCGATAGTAGAATATGTTATTTAAATAGATTTAAATTTTTTTGTGATAATCATTTTTATTAAATAAAACAGAAGCTAAATATTTTTAATTGACACGGCAATTGTCTTTATTTTGTTCGTCACGAAATGTTGGAGTTGGTGGTGGTTGTTGTTGTTTATCTGCAACTTTAACTGGACTTTCTCTCATGAATTGTTGAGGAAAGTTGTCTTTAAGAAACCGTTGAATATGATGCTTATTTGTTTGATAAAATTCAAGAAAAACTTTATCTTTTTCTTTTGTATTCATTCGAGTATAAGCGTCACTTAACATTGTTTCGCTAAATGCTTGTTCATATACTTCAAGTGTTTTCTCAATTTCAATTGCTGTAGGTCTTTGTTTAGTATCAGTTTCTAAACACTTTACAATAATTTCATCATAAAAAACTGGACTTGGTTTCGTGATTATTATACGTGATGTTGCTCGATTTAAACGAAAATCATGCATTATTTCTGTAAATAGTTGGTTTAATGTTAAACCATATGTATAAATATCTAATTTCTCGTCACATCTGATATGTCCTTCGGATTGTTCATGAAAAAATTCAGGTGGCATAAATTGTAAACATCCTAATTGAGTTTGTTGACCATTAGGATCAATAACTCGAGCAATGCCCATGTCGCCAATTTTAGCAACATAATCATCATTTATAAGAATATTATCAGGTCGAATATCACGATGTACCATTCCATGCTGATGAATACGTCTCATGCCTGATGCTACTTGACGAGCCCATGCTACTTTACGTCTTAAAGATATTTTATGTGGTTCATTCTCAAGAAGATCTTGTAAACTTCCACGTCCCATCAGTTCCATTAGAATCATAAATTGTGTTGTTAAGCCACGATGACGAGTTGCGGGTAATTCATTAGTAGCAAAACCAAATGTTTTAAGAATATATGGACCTGATAATTCTCGATAAGCAGCTAATTCAAGAAGAAAACTTCGTTGCAGTGTGTGAGAACTGGTTGATGCACCAGAAACTTCAATTACTTTACAAGCAACTTCACGATTCTTTGGTCGCCAAACTGCTCTGCATACATATCCTATTATAGATATATAAAGGTTATTCAATATATAATTGTAATCAAACTTACCAAATCCTCCTCGACCTAAAACCTCTCCAAACTCAATATCAGTTGGATCAACTTTTGGTATAACACTATTTGAAGTTAAAATCATTGGATGATTTCTTTCATGTGATTTTGTACAAATATGCTTTTCAATGGCACATTTTTCACATAGGTTATAATTAGGACAAGTATCACATTTAAAACGTAAACCATAAAAATGTTTTTGTTGACAAGTGCCATCACATTTGATTCCTTTATGATGTTCATTTTGAAGAGTACTTAAGTGTTTTAATTTATGTAAAGTAACTTCATTATTAACATTATGAACTGGTATACCTAAGAATTCATTAGGTAGTTTAAACTGGACCATAGCATGACCACTAGAGTGATGTTCTGTTTCACGACGTTTCTCAAAACAACGTCCACATAAATCATAGTTTGACGATGGTGGACATTCTAAACAATGATATCGATCAACATGACGAATTGGTTTCATTTTACAAGATGCACATTCAGCATCATGAACATCTTCAGTTTTATGCGAATCATTGGAACTAGTCTGATTTATTAATTTTCCAATAATTCTCATTAACATCACATCATCAACAGGCTGATCAGAACCTTTTCTAACAGGAGAATCTAAGAAGAAAATTTCTTTGGAAAAGATTTTTATAAATACTTTTATTTACCTGATCCATGAAGTGCATGTCTGTATTGACTTGATTCACACTGTTGTTTCGTACCTGTAAAAACAATAAATTTAAATAAAAATAAATTTTCAGGTACATCAATCTGATCCAACAATAGACTCACTAGTGAATCTGACTATCAAATTAAAATATTAAACTCCTTAAGACCCTGGTTTAATCGAGCTATCAGTCTTCAAAAAAAGATTCAAAATATCAAATAAGAGTCCGAAAAGCTTGGACTCAATAATCCCTAAATAGTTCAGCGTCGAAGGCTGATGTGAGAGTGAGAATGAGATCAATTCTGATCTACATTTCGATGTAGGCATGTGAAACTAACTAACTGAAAGCTATATTCAGCACTTTGTTCGAATAAAGTGCTTCGCTATTGTGAGTAAGAATCGATACGTATATTGTTTACATTACAAAATAAATATTTCAGACGTTAAACTTTTAAGTTTTGACTTAACAGAAAGTTCTTATTACCTATCATAAGAACTGTTCCATAACGTCTAGAACCATCGATAAAAATAGTGTAAGTTACATTTGTACGAACAGTTTCTAATGGTGCTAATTGAATGTATTTTTGTGGAATAATTTCAATTTTTTTTGTGTCTGACCATTGAACTTTGCAGTAAGGTTCATCTTCCCGTTGTTCCTCTAAAAATTATAAGAAAAAATGACATTAAGTAAAATTCTAGCGTTGTTTCGTTTTACCAAGTTTCTCAATCAACGCGCTTCGTATATGTTGCAACATGTGATTTTATACAGCAAGCAAAGATATGAATAACAACTAGACTGAGTTAAAATAAAGGCAAATAAATAGGAAAAAAAGAGGAGAACGAAAAAAGAATGTGTGAGGAAGAAAAGAAAAAAAATCTTTTTCAATTGTTTATAGGCAATTTTGAGGCAACATGACGTTATGAAGTACGTGAAATGGTTATAAATGAAGTCATAATTTACACTCACATGCGTAGTCAATTGACGTAGATGACAGACATGTATTATTATCTTCGTCTATGACTCATATATATCATTCACTATAATTTCAATTTCTTTTTATCAAGCAATATTAATTTTCTTAATCATATCCAGAACTCTCGCGAGCGAGAGAGGTGTACACCGCCTCAATCTCAGACTCTTCGCGCGGCTACTGATTATATTTCAAAGCATTTCTTTACAAATAATTCATTGACAGTATTCCCATTAAAAGTAAAACTATTCTTTGATTGCTTGCCTATGGATATATACATATCCATAATTATACTAAGTAAATAGATCTTTTTTCTATCAACAATATATGAAAATGTATGATTTTGAAAACTAAAACTATTTTATTTTAACATTAATGAATCGTAAAAAATAAAACGATTATAAATATATGTAAGACGTTGTTAGAATATTTTATAAATAGGAAGCGTGTTACCACATAATAAAATAAAAAAAAGACGTCGATAGAAATTTTTTTTTCTAACATGATTTCCATGGAAAATTTTCTCCTTTTTTATCTCGATATTGAATTTGTTCAATTGCATTAGTACAAATAATATTTCCTGTATCTCCATCAAATAAAATCAATGCTGGAATACCAGTAACTTTAAATACTTTTAATAATTTTTCACGTTTTTTTCGTTCTTTAAAATCCATTTTTAACCATGGCATTTCTTTATAATAATCATCAAATGTTTGTTCATCTTGATCAGAACTTATATAAATAATTTCGAAATTTTTATCTTTTCTATGTGTTTTATAGAATTCAACTAATTTTGGAGTAAATGCACGACATGGTGGACACCTAAGATCAATATTTAGAAATAATATTAAACAGATAAAATTAAATAAAACATACCAATGAGCACTAAAATAAAGGCCAATTATTTTTCCTTTATATTTTTGATCACTAAAATCAATTTTTTTATTGATTTTATTATGTACATTTCCATCAAAGAATTTCGCAAGACTAGTCATCTTTGTATATATATGATCACAAGGCGAGTAACTGTTAATAATAATGATATATAACGTTATTCTTTATTAACTACCTTCGCTCTTTTTCTCGTATGTTCAACCTTGATAATAGGTGAAACAGAACGAAAGAATATCTATGCACTTGTAAATTCTATATATGAATAAAATATAGATATGTCCTTCTTGATAACGTTTGTACGTTTTATCAATCGAGGTGAAATATATGATTCATTGAGAAGAATCTTGAATAAATCAGATGTGTGTAGTTTATAATGAAAGACAACCTAGAATAATAATTAGTTTATAAATTTTAGATTAAATAAAAATTGTTTATTTAACTATTCAATAGATTGAAATAGGATTAACAATAATCAAATTTCTTGAATTGTCATCCGACTCGCTACTGTAATGCAGTAGTGGTTAGACAGATCTTAATTAAATGAATAATAATAATGGTGTCATTAGAGTTCATTTGAGATATATGGATCGTATGAAGCGAACTAAAACTTCATGCGAAGAGCTGATCACATATTTTTTAAATGTTTTTTTTTCGCATTGAAATCAGACCGTGATATAAATCGAGATTGGATTTGATGTTGAATAGAAGCCTCAAGTCAAAAGAAAAATTGATACTGGAAGGTTCTCTTTTATTTTGCATATACGTTGAAGACATAAGATTCTATTATGTGCCATCAGAAAATGTTACATAAATGAGAAATAATTTATTCAATGCATCTTTCAATATGAACTTGTTTATCAGTTATAAATAGTATGCATATTTTTTTTTGATATACAGGTCTACTAATGTCGATTGAAAGATACAATTATTTATTCTAATAGTCTATTAATTCATAAATAATCAAATTTTATTTTAGAATCGATAATTAAGTTAATGAACAGTATTTGAATTTCGATGGTACATAAAATATACAGTACAAACTTATAAATAAGGTAAAGATAATATCTTCATTAAAGTTCGATGTATAGTATCCGGCAAAAATCGAGCATATCGTTCAAAATATTCTAAACCTTATATGCATCATTTTCCTGCGTTCATTCTATCTGATATATATCTATTTGATTACAGTTTATTGAATAAGACTAGACAGTCTTGACAGAGGAAGTAGAACGGTCATTCAAAAACATCAAGAATCCTATACTAAATTTTCATATACGATTAGATTTCATCCGAAGACAATAAATTTCAACTATCTTTTCATAAAACAGTGTCTGAATATGACATAGTACTACATTTTTGGTAATTGAAATGATCATCCTGTGAAATATAGTTCTCTTTCCATCAAGAACGAAATCAAAAAGTGTAGATATCATAAATTTTTACTTACATGAGATCTTCAATAATTCCTTCGAAAACTTGCTGTATATAAAATAGAATAAAATGAAAATCGTTCTAATACATAATTTTAAATAACTAGAAGCGTGTTATTTTTATATAAATAAAAACACATTCAAAAAGTTACAAATATATATTTTTTGAAAATTAAAATATTTTAGAAAGAAAACTAATCCAATAAAAAATAAATTTTTATTTATCTTTTTTCCATGGAAAATATCTTCCTTCGCGATCTTCATCATGTATTTGATCGATTGCATCCGAACAAATAACATCTCCAGAATCTCCATCAACTAAAACTAATGCTGGAATACCAGTAACTTTAAATTTTTTAGCTAATCGTTCTTTTTTCTTTCGTTCTTTGTAATCATATTTTAACCAAGGCATTTTTTTATAATAATCATCAAATGATTGTTCATCATGATCAGAACTTAAAAAAATCACTTCAAAATTTTTTTCTTTTCCATATGTTTTATAAAAATCAGTTAATGTTGGAGTAAAACCACAACATGGTGAACACCTAAGATGATATTTTTATAAGTCTAATAGAATAAAAATAAATAAAAACATACCAATAAGCACTAAAATAAAGGCCAATTATTTTTCCTTTATATTTCGGATTATTAAAATCAATTTGTTCATTGAATTTATTATACACATGTCCTTCAAAATATTTCGCGACACCGGCCATGATTTTCGTGAATATATAAAATGAACAGAACTAAAACTATGATAATAATTTATTTCGTTATTATGTACTTAACATAACTTTTTTCTTTCTCTCTCTATCTCTCTCTCTCTCTCTCTTTCTCGCCCGTCCTTTACCTTGATCGTAAATGAAAAAGAACGAAAAAGTATTTGTATACTGATAGATTTTATATGAAAAAAAGATACTTATTCGTCCTTTTTGTCTCAATCGAGGTTAAATATACTCGGAAAAAAAATCTTGAACAAATTACATGTGATCTATACGAAAAATAAAGTACAAGGTTACAATCAATTTAAGAATATTTGTTTTTTCTTCAGATTTCATCGTAAAATAAAACACCATCGGATGGAGAAGATTATAACTGGACAATTCATTTACACTACAAATAGGTGACAACAAACATAAAAATAAAGTTTAAGATTAGTAACTACTGTAAAGTTATTCTACTCATATAATATTTTTAAAATCAAGCTAACAATGGAACGGTTTGTATTGATAAGCGAGTTGGACTACCATTTGGGGTACAATCACTGAGAAACTAACAAATCTAAAATATGAGCTGCTATTGGCTATCCTGGACAGAGATATTCAATTTATAAGTTATGCATATATATATATAAGGTACAGCAAATGAAAAAATCGAGTAAAATTTTTTTCTTCACGATTTATCTATGAGCTCGACAAAACTGTATATTTGAAAATTTTTTCAAGTCAACTTTTTGGGGTAAAAATTTCAAAAGATTATGTAAAAATAGATAACTTATAAATTGAATATGTCTGTCCAGGTAGCCAACAGCACTTCATATTATAGACTTGTTAGTTTCTCAGCGATTGTGACCATTTGCACCTCAAATGGTCCTCCAACCCGCTTATCAATACAAACCATTCCATTGTAAAGATAAGATTTTTCTTTTTTTCGCTTTGATTTTATTACATAATTAATCCTAAAAAGATTCTTAGGTTATTTTGAGTTCTGGAGCAGATTAAATAAATATCTGGAATTTCAAAACATGAACAGTATGGCGACGATCATTCGTAAGCGGAAGGATCATAACACACCTTTGCGTCTGTTTTATATAAATGAATATTTTACTTACTCATAAATTGAATCGAAAAATATAAAAAATGATTTTATGTGTCTACATTCACAAAGTATATCCTATTTTGTAGAACAATATTGCGTAAAGAATAAATCTTTGAGTGTTTCTTTTGTGTTCTTAAAGTAACGCTTTGACTCATGATTTATTTTAACTTTATACAAAAAAATATGTGTTTCCATGTAAATCAATTAAATACAAGACTTATATATTTTCCTAACGCATTCGATACGATGAATCTCATCGTATTGAAAAGCTAAAATTTATTTATATATTTGAAAAAATATAATAAGTTAAATAAAAAAACTATTAATTATCAGATGTCCATGGAAAATCTCTTCCTCTCGGATCTTCACTATCAATGTATTCAATTGCATCTTCACAAAGAATATCTCCTGTATCAGCATCAAGTAAAACTAATGTTGGATAACCGGAAACATCAAATTTTTCTTTTAATTTGTCAATTTTCTTTTCTTGTTTGAAATCGAATTTAAGCCAAGGCATTTCATGATAATACTCATTAAATGATGCTTCATCATTATCAGCACTTACAAATATAATTTCAAAATCTTTTTTATCAGCATATTTTTTATAAAATTTAACTAATTTTGGAGTAAAATTAACACATGCTCTACACCTAAACAAACATATATTTATGTATATATGTCAAATAAAATAAATAAAACATACCATTGAGCACTAAAATAAAGACCAATTACTTTTCCTTCATATTTTTCATCATCAAGATCAATTCTTTGATTTGATTTATCACGAATATATCCATTTAATAGTTTTGTAAGACCTGCCATGGGTTTAATTCTTATGTATTATATTAACTATCAAACACGAAAATTTGATAATGAGATATTCGCGATTATCCCTTAATTATATGTGTTCGTATCTTTTTCTTCCTTGCGTCTCGTATTTTGTTGATCAATAAAAAACAACAACAAAAAAATATAATTGATGTCTTATAACATTGTTTTTCTATTGATCAATAAAATATACAGTATTTGTAATTAATACATATATATACCAATGTATATTCAATAAATGATGAGAAGTGAATGTGTACATAGTCTCTAATTTTATTTGAATACATGAAATGTAGATATTTTAATTTTTTCGTGTTTTTATTTTAAATTCGGTTGAAAATTATAACAGAAGTCTTACGAATAGAAATATGTCAGTATTCTCTTCCGATATGATTAGATATACTTATGTATTCAAGTTTTTTTTGTAAATATTCATGCTGTTATCCTTGACATAAAACTGTATATTGTCTCGAATATAAAAGAGTAGTCAAGGACAAGTATATGGGCTAATTCAAGTACGATTTATATTGTCATATGATTTTGTCTAATATCAAGTAATGTATTGAAAGTATAGAAATTCGGTAGATATCTTAACGAACAGTCGCATTTAATTCTTTGTGTAAGAATTATATAGAAAATTCTAAACATACGTCGGTTTAATATGGGTATATGAGAGTAGCCAGTATCCCGACACTCGTATACTTACTATACATTGTAAAAATTCAAAGTATACGGATGTTTTATTTTCTATACAATCCTTTCTTTAACTCGAAGTTAACTATAATAGAAAGATATTTCGATGTTTGCTTTACCTAGCATTAGATTAAATTAGAAGACTAAACGACAATGCTTATACTCGAAGATTAGAACAAAAAAGAATGTTGCTATTATATAATCAACAATAATAAATTCGATTTAGTATTACCTTAATCTCTTTGAGTCATAAAACAAACGTATTACTATAAACCAGTATCTTAATCATTTTTAAACAACGAACATGTATATATTCAGAATATCCTATCAATGATATTAAAATAAGACTTTAGAGAATTATTTGATATTTGAGTACGATAGAACAAAATAGTAGTATTAGAGCCATTTTATTCTACCATTCATAGAAAACTGACTTTCAAGAAAATGATTCGTGACGTATTACTAGAACTTTTTTTTTTATTTAGAAGAGAACTGTACAAATCATCAGTGGAAATATCACTGATATACGAAATGACTAAGTTTTTTTCGTGAGATATTCTCTTCGAAAATAAATCAACAAGCATACAATAACTATCGTACTAGTAATTAATTCAGTTTACTCATTAAATAAATATTATTTCATTAGTGCTTACCTTTATTATTTTATTGATGTAACGTCTAGGTGACAAATGGGTGTGAAGGGCAACATAAAGTAACAGTGCATGTAGGTGCAGATATGTTCATTCTACATGCTTCAGATGATGCATTAACGTTTGTCTTCAATTTCTTTTACATCATATGAAATTCTTTATTTTTTAATCAATAATATTCCGTATAAATCGTGGTTACATAGTGTTATTAATTTATTTAAAATTACAAAAAATATAGAAATACGTAGAGTGAAAAAAATTAGATATAAATAATTGTTTTTAGTTTAATATCTAGTTGAAAAATGTTACATTAAAACACAGGATTGTTTTTTTTCGGATTTTTCATCTTTCCATGGGAAATTCTTTCCTTGTTTATCATGATTTTGAATTTGTTCTCGTGCATCAGTACAAATAACATCGCCTGTATCACCATCGATTAAAATTAATTTTGGAATTCCATTTACACCAAGTTTATTTTCTAATTCATCTTTTTTTTCTTGTTCTTTATAATCTAATTTTAACCATGGCATGTCTTTATAATAATCATCAAATGATTTTTCATCACTATCAGAACTTAAAAAAATAATTTCGAAGTTTTTATCTTTTGCATGAGTTTTATAGAATTCAATTAATTTCGGAGTAAATCCACGACATGGCGGACACCTATTGAGATATATATAATATTAAATATGAAAAAAAACTGAATAAAACATACCAATGTGCACTAAAATAAAGTCCAAATATTTTTCCTTTATATTTTTCGTCTTTAAGATCAACTTCTTCATTGGATTTATTTAGAATATGTCCATCAAAGTTTTTTGCTATGCCGGCCATTAACTTACCTTAGGTGTAAATGTATAATCACAAGACAACAAAATATAACACTGATATATTTTCGTTACCTGCGCGCTTTTTTCTTTCGTTTTCGGTATTAACGATGGACAAAAAGAAATGAAAAATACTCGTAAATACGGTATTTATCTTATCCTCTTTCCATGTGCCCTATAATAATATTTTGTTTTTATACCGATAGAAAATAAAATGCGCTATGAAGAATAATTACTAAGTGTATCATGAATCAGAAAGGGATTTTGTTTTTGTAATAAATGAAAAAGAAATTTATGTTAGTGGTCTATTATGATTAAGAAAAAAATTATAATAGAAATATATTCTGAAAATATACATGTACAGATCAGTCATATTTGTAATAAAATTGACCATTGATTTAAATATACAAGTTACAAACTACGATCTATATTTAGTTGATGATATAACTACTCAGGCAATCTTCCTCCTTTTTTATCACATGATTCATCATACGTTATTTTTCTTTCATCGGACATATATTTCATTCAGTAAATATTATGATTGTAGAAGATCAAATATAGAAATAAATGAGTCATAATCAAGAAGACAATCACAAATGTCTGTACAAATGAATATATGATTGTCTTTTCTAAATTCATGTGTTGCCATACAGTTAAATTCTATTTGTTTAAAAAAAAAGATCAATTGTAGTTTTTGTTAAATCCATCATCATATTAGACGATGAATATTATTTATCGAATTTTAGAAGCATTCGGTGTAGCGAAAAAAGTAAGGCCAGTAAAAATAGTTACAGATAAGGTAAAAACAATAAGACAAAGACGATCAATAACCATAGTAACAAAATTCTAATCTTTCGATTCATTATCATTCTCTTCTTCTTGTAAATTAAAATCAACTACAGAATTAAGTTGAGAAATAATCATACGTAATTGAGAATGAATGATTTCTGTATCATATAAATGGAATTCTTCCAACGAATTTTGAGTTTTCGATACTGTAATCAAATTCGACGAGTGTTTTTTTGAGTATCTAATCTTTCAAAAGATTACTTGAAGGCATTATATCATACATTAGTAAAGTAAACATAATAATCGATAAAAGAATTGTAATTTCTGTAAATAAAAATATCCTTTTTCTTTTTCTTCTTATTAAAATTTTAACTTACGTAATGTCAATTTTTCACCACTTTCCGGTGCTAATAAAAATCCAAGTATTGTCGTAAAAGTTATTAAAAAATAAGGTACTACAGAAAACAAAAGCAAAGCAGATCTATTCATATTCTAATTTATTTTTGTTACATATAACTACTTAAGCTACTTGTTATATAATACAAAGAAAGTCGACTAATTCGAATAGTAAAAAGAACAAATGGAGATAATGTTGCACAACATTTGTTTCACTTATATTTAACGGTGCGATTGTATAGATCTACTATATTTATTTCTGTATAATTGTACTATTCATCTTTTTGTGAATCAAACACGATACTAATTTTACAGAACCATCAAATAAAACTGACACAAATTTGTATTTTTTTCGATGATGAAACAACTAATAAATGGTACAAATATTAAATTTGAAAGCAACTAAAACGTAAATATGCGAAATATGATACTTTTATTTTACTTTGTAATAAAGAAAAATATAACAAGCATCTTTATACTTATGAAATAGAGAATAAAACGTTTCATGATGTTTATCAGTCTATTATACAACGTTATTAAACAAATTTAAGAATGGAGTTATGTAAATTAGCAACTTATTCATGTTATTAAAGATATAGCTCTACTCTATTTAATAAATGTTTTTCTTAATGAAAAAGAAGTAAAAATACCAGAGCGATGGATCTACATGTAAATCTAAAAATTTTATACAACATTCAATAGTATTAACATAATACATTAGCTAATATTCTACTTAAGATTTTTGGGAGTGGATGTAGCATTTGCATCTTCTTGTGATATCATGAAGAATAATAATATAATTACATTCTCTTAATTGTATTAATTTATCAATATTTTCAAGGCTATTCTGTCATAATACCATGCATATATTCTTTGGTATAGAAATAAACAAGATGTTCTTCAATATTATCAATAGTAGGAAAAGTTTGTTCATCGATTGTGACCCTATTTTGAAAAGAAATAAGTGCGTGAAATGAACCACCAGTTTTAATTAAAAATACAGGAGTTTTCGATGTTGTTTGTGCACCATATATCCTATACATGGAATATAGATCAATATAAACTTTTAATTCGAGGGTTGAAGCGGGTGGCTTGTGTCGTCTATCGTATGTAGCAAGAAGCGTTCTATTAGAAATATTTTTATGAACACATAGACGAGGTAGGCCGAAACTCTATTTAAAGAAACAAATAAAAATATGATATTATATTATTATTTTATCGTACTTCGAAGAGATGAAATCCATGTTGATAGAGTTCATCACGAATTTTCTTAGTAAATAGATATGTCATATCAATAATGCCAATATCAATATCTTTTGTCCAAGGAATAATAGTTTTATTACGCACAGCACCAAGAAGAGTACCATAGATAATTACATATGACAAATTGTGATGTTTAAAAAAAGTATCAATGAAGACAAGTGAGTGCTTGAGAATATATGCACAACATGTTTTATTTTGAGTTGTACATTGAGGAGAATGAGAACATGCCAGAAAAGCACAGTGACTGATATTATTTGAAGGTGAATTAATGCTCTTCACAACTTTTTCTTGTTTACTAAGTATAAAAAAATATATAAGAAATTATTGTAAGTATCTCATTGATAGATGAAGATGATAGTTATTTGCAAAAATCTGCTGTTCTCTCATAAACTAATGAACATCTTTACTCAATATCAATCAAAAAAAATACATAAAATGATGGTAAACGACATTAAAATACGAGTCCTTATTTTTTAAGTTCTAAGTATTTTTGTTCTGTTTTGGGATAGTTCAATTACAGACGCTCACGTAAGACTAAATTGTATTAAATGACTACAGATATAATGTTCAGGTACTTTATGCTATATATTTGAAATGCGTATACTATGTATAATAAAATGAATACAAGTTTATATAATCAATAATTTTTCAATTATAAACTGATTTCTAATCTTTTACCTTAATTGAAAAGTTATCATGATTATTAACCAGATCATAAACGTTATAATAACAATCCATTTGCTATATCGCATAAACATCATAAGTAGTATGTCTATATATAAAAAATTGGAATATATCAATATAATGACCATAATTATTTTTATCATAAAATAATTATGTAGAAGTTTTTAGTCAATAGATACAACTAACATTGATAAGATAAAAATTATTACATATATTCTAATTTCTATCTTGTTAATAGGTATATCTGAGGATTATCCTATAATCAAAAGACTATGATCAGCGAATTAATCGACGTGTAGACACTACTATGAATTAAAAGGATAAAATATTAAATGATAAAAAAAATATATGTATAATATATTATGAATCCTCCTATTCCTAACACTTATCTTCCTTTAAATAGAATAGTAGCCCTACTTCATAAAAAAGATAAGAAATATAAATGTTTCTTTTATCAATAGTTACGTTGTCTTTCTATATAACGGCAGTGAGATCATACGATTTTTCTCTTTTATCATTCTAAATATATGATATGTTAGTGATGAATTTGTCATATTTACATTGTAAAAATATTACTTGACTGTAGATTATTGTATGTGATAGATGTTAATTGTTGATATAATGAAACTATACTATTATGATACGGATATAATAAAGAATTCAAAAAGGTTTTAATTATTTATTGAGCAGAGATATATTTTAGCGCATTTTAATAATCAATTTCTAATTATATTTGTTTCTGTTCATGATAAAAAATGTATTTATTCTCATTATTTTTTAGTCTTCATACTATATTTACTGTTTCATGATATATTATATTAATTCATAAGAAACAATAGCAACTGTAATCCTTAAAATAATCAGCATCTTACATAAATAAAGAAAAGAAAAAACAAATAGATTTAGTTTTTTGTCTTTTGAATAATTTAATTTATTATATAAAAGAATATCTGCTGTCCATGTGTTTCTACTTGGTATTTGTACTGTTTGAATATTACCATATTCTTCTGGATTCCATCTTAAACTGTAATCTTTCCATGACTAAAGGTAAAGAAAAAGATGCAAACAAAAAATCATATTAACTAAATAAACAAGAACAAGCCATCCACTAATTATGATAACTTCATTTTTTTCATCCTATTTATATGAATAGAAAACAAAATTATTATTTTATTTGACATACAAATTCCATAATTTGTTGTAAAGCTAAATTAATACTACCTGATAATGTATAAGAATCATTTTCAATGGGGTCGTTCCAATTTGTTATATTGATTATTAACTAATAAATATTTCAACAAACGACGTTGACCAAGACCTCCAACTAATAGTCATTATGTGTACATATATTGTTCTTGTGTGAAGAAAGAACATTTGTTGACTTTCATATAACATACGATAAGAAGAACAAATATTTTTCTATGTTGATGTATTGTATTCATCAGATTTCTCTGAATAATGTATGAAAACATGACATTTAATGGAAAAAAAATAATAAATGAAGTGAGAATTATATTTCAATAAAAACGGAAATTTTCGATCATTATCAATCACAAGGGACACCAAATATTTAACTTTAACAAACATAAGCATTAACAACAGGAACAATAGACAAAGATGTTAATTATCATCAGTAATAAACTTATTTAATTAATCAATCTTGAATTTCTTTTAATTGAATCTATTCCATGTACGTATATACACCCACACCCACACCATAGTTTGTATTCACTATAATTCATATAATAAACTTTCTTTTGATCTTTTAGTGTCTCTCTCTGGGAAATGGGTCTTGAAAATATAAACAGTGATTTATTCATCTTTCTGGTATGTAAAAAAAACTTTAACTATACGCCTCTATCACTAACAAAAAAAGTTCTTATCGAAGTGCGACTTATCACCAACCTGAAAACAAGTAAATTATTTCCTCTGATTGATAGAGTAATTATTAAAGCTTATTTGAACTACAGACAACAAAATAGTATAGTTTTATTGATGATCTACATATAAATTTAAAAATTTTATACAACATTCAACAGTATTAATATAATATATTAGCTAATATTCTGCTTAAGATTGCTGAGAGTGGATGTAGCATTTGCATCTTCTTGTCATATCATGAAGAATAACAAGATAATTACATTCTCTTAATTGTATTGATCTATCAATATTTTCAAGGCTATTTTCACATAATATCATGCATATATTCTTTGGTATAGAAATAAACAAGATGTTCTTCAATATTATCAATAGTAGGAAAGGTTTGTTCATCGATTGTGATTCTATTTTGAAAAGAAATAAGTGATTGATGTGAACTACTAGATTGAACTGAAAATAATGAAGTGTTCGATGTTGTCTGTGCACCATTTATTTTAGACACGGAATATAGATCAATATAAGCTTGTACTTCGGAGATTGACGCTGGTGGTTTGTGTTGTCTATCTTGTGTAGCAAGAAGCATTGTATTAGAATTGTTTCTATGAACACATAGACGAGGTAGGCCAAGAGTCTATTAAAAAAAACAAAAATAAATAAATATATAGTATTATTTTATCGTACCTTGAATAGATGAAATCCATTTTGGTAGAGTTCATCACGAATTTTCTTGGTCAACAGATATCTCTTGTTAAGAATGCCAATATCAATATCTTTTGTCCAAGGAATAATAGTTTTATTACGCACAGCACCAAGAAGAGTACCATAGATAATTACATATGACAAATTGTGATGTTTGAAAAAAGTATCAATGAAGAGAAGTGAGTGCTTGAGAATATATGCACAACATGTTTTATTTTGAGTTGTACATTGAGGAGAATGAGAACATGTTAGAAAAGCACATTGATTGATAGAAACAGATTCCCTAATAACAACATTAAAGAAATCTCAGGTCTTAAAAGATTTGGTTCTCCGTTGTTTTACACTCGATTGAAAATATTCTTACATATGCATAATCTATGGAGTCTCCTCTTTCAAATGGTGTAACATTGACCCTTGTCTTACACATAACGATGGAGAAATCAGCGGTCTACGAAAAGGGACATCGTCTGTTATTACTATGGTTCATTTCTCTAATGACAACAGTAAACTAATTTTTCGACCCTAATAACAATACTTTATCGACTACACTTTTTCAATTCCACCAACAGCCAATGCTTGTAAAAATAGAATAAGAGACTATATTCATAAATAATATATATCTATACTAACAATAGCGCGAATAATTAGGGAGAGTATCTAACCCTTTCACTACCAAATAGATTTAGATGAATTGAGTTCAAGTAAATCGTGAAGTCACCTTATGTTAGATATAAGAGTAGATGTTAAACATATCTTATGTTTTTTCGCATCTGATTTTCACAAGTTAAGTCATATTGAATTTTTCCTAACCGGCTCTCCCTAGGCAGCAATCCCTCTCAAAAAGCCCCGACAATTTCACGAAACCCGAGAGGAGTTTAAAAAAGTTGATAAACTTTTTGGAGAATTTCTAGTTGAGAACCTCAAAAAATGAAGTAAAAAATGAAAAATATTTCAAAAATAGTTTTAGGAAAGTGGCTGAAAAATCGTAAGAAATTTCCTGGAAAAATCTATCGAGACTTCTCAAAAAATTGACGGAGATTTCGTCCAATTGTCAGAACTGTCCAGCGTACTACTTAAAGAGACTAGGCTAGGGTTTTTATACATGAATAGAAATGTTAACTGTCGAAGTTTATTAACTGCAAACATCAGACATTTCAAAAGAATTTCCGAAACTGCACCGTTATTATTCCTTACAAGCAATTACGAACTAATTTTTCTGAATAATTTTCTGAAGAATATTAACAATTAAGGTGTAGCTTTTCTTATACTATGGCAATCAAAAGGTTAAATAAAATTATTTTAATGTGATCAATGAAATTACTAAAAGAGTTTACTGTCAATTTCGCGCTATTGTTAGTATAGATGTATTATTTATGAATATAATCTCTTATTCTATTTTTTACAAGGATCGGCTGTTGGTGGAATTGAAAAATTGTAGTAGATAAAGTGTTGTTATTAGGGTCAAAAAATAGCTAGGTGTTGTTATTAAAGTCCGAAAAATAGCTGGGGGTTGTAACTAAGGACATTTTTTAAAAAAATGATAATCTATGTCTTTGTTTTAATTTTGTTTTTCCTATTAAACCAAAGTTCATTCCTCATGAACCTTGGGATTTAGATAGAGTTTGATTTGCTCTACAAAATTGCCAGCAAGACCTTTCCTTGTTTTTCGAAAGAAAAACGTAAAAAAATCATTTTTTCTCTACAAGTCCATTTTTTCTTCAATTTTTTTGAACTGTTGTTATTAGGGAAATGAACCATAATAACAACAGACGATGTCCCTTTTCGTAGACCACTGATTTCTCCGTCGTTATGTGTAAGACAAGGGTCAATGTTACACCATTTGAAAGAGGAGACTCCATAGATTATGCATATGTAAAAATATTTTCAATCGAGTGTAAAACAACGGAGAACCAAATCTTTTAAGACCTGAGATTTCTTTAATGTTGTTATTAGGGAATCTGACTCTATCATTTGGAATTGAATTAATGCTCTTCACAACTTTTTTTGTTTGCTAAGTATAGAACTGTATATAAAAAACTATTGTGAGTGTCTCGTTGATAGATGAAGATGATAGTTAGTTGCAAAAATCTACTGTTCGTACAAACTAATGGACATATTTACTCGATATTCTTGAACTTCTTTTAATATCAACTAAAAAAAATATGTAAAATGATGGTAAACCACGTCAAAATGCAAGCCCTTATTTTCAAGTTCTAAATACTTTTGTTCTGTTTGGGAACAAAACGTTTTTTTTGGATAGTTCGATTCTAGATATTCAAGCAAAACTAAATTGTATTAAATGACTACAAATATAATGTTCAGATACTTTAGAAACAGTAACGGAAAACGATATGGAGTTTCTTTAAAAGCTTAGCGAAATTAATGATAGTTTTTGCTAATTTTCTATACTATATATTTGAAATGCGTATACTGTGTTTACTAAAATGAATAGAATTTTAACTCACGTTGACTTTGGTTTACTTTATATAATCATTAGTTTTTCAGTTATAAACTGATTTCTAAATTTTTACCTTAATTGAAAAATTATCATGATTATTAACCAGATCATAAAAGTTATAATAACAATCCATTTGCTATATCGCATAAACATCATAAGTTGTATATGTCTATATATAAAAAATTGGAATATATCAACATAACGATCATAATCTTTTTTATCATAAAATAATTATGTAGAAGTTTTTAGTCAATAGATACAACTAATGCTGGTAAGATAAAAATTATAGCATATGTTCTAATTTCTAGGTTGTTGTTAGGTATATCTGAGGATTATCCTATAATAAAAAGACTATGATCAATGAACTAATCTACGTGTAGATACTACTATGAATTAAAAGGATAAAATATTAAATGATAAAAAAATATATGTATAATATATTATGAATCCTTCTATTTCTGACATTTATCTTCGTTTGAATAGCATAGCAGCCCTACTTCATAAAAAAGATAAGAAATATAAATGTTTCCTGTATCAATAGTTACTTTTTCTTTCTATGTAACGCCAGTGAGATCATACGATTTTTCTCTTTTATCGTTCTAAATACATGATATGTTAGTGATGAATTTGTCATATTTACATTGTAAAAATATTACTTGACAGTAGATTCTTGTATGTGACAGATGTAATCGATGTTAATTGTTGATATAATAGAATTATACTATTATGACATGAATATAATACAGAATTCAAAAGCGTTTTAATTATTTATTGAGCAGAGATATATTTTTAGTGGGTATGAATAAATAATTTCTAGTTATATTTATTCATATTCGCGATAAAAAGATATGTATGTAAATCAACTGTGAGCACAGGAAGGATCAATTAGTTCTGTATTTATTCCCATTATTTTTTAGTCTTCATACTATATCTATTGTTTTATGATATATTATGTAAACTCATAAGAAACAATAGCAACTGTAATCCTTAAAATAATCAGCATCTTACATAAATAAAGAAAAGAAAAAACAAATAGATTTAGTTTTTTGTATTTTGAATAATTTAATTTATTATATAAAAGAATATCTGCTGTCCATATTTTTCTACTTGGTATTCGTACTGTTTGAATATTATCATATTCTTCGAGATTCCATCTTAAACTATAATCTTTCCATGACTAAAGGTAAAGAAAAAGATGAAAACAAAAAATCATATTAACTAAATAAACAAGAACAAGCCATCTCCTAATTTTGATAACTTCATTTTTTTCATCCTATTTATATGAATAAAAAACAAAATTATTATTTTATTTGACATACAAATGCCATAATTTGTTGTAAAGCTAAATTAATACTACCTGATAATGTATAAGAATCATTTTCAATGGGGTCGTTCCAATTTGTTATATTGATTATTAACTAATAAATATTTCAACAAACGACGTTGACCAAGACCTCCAACTAATAGTCATTATGTGTACATATATTGTTCTTGTGTGAAGAAAGAACGTTTCTTGACTTACATGTAACATATGATAAGAAGCACAAATATTTTTCTATGTTGACGTATTGTATTCCTCAGATTTCTCTGACTAATGTATGAAACACATACGATTTAATGCGAGAAAAAAAACTAATAAATGAAGTGAGAATTATATTTTAATAAAAACGGAAGTTTTCGATCATTATCAATTGCAAGAAACAAACAATAGAGGAAGATGTTGATTATCACCAATAATAAATTCATTTAATTTAATCTATTCCATGTATGTACATACATCCACATCCAAATATTTCTAGTATCTTAAATAATCCTTATCATTTTATAACATATGACACAATCGATTAATCGAAGATATACAACTTTCAAAAACGACATTTTTTCGAATGTTTTTTACTGCACGTTTTAATCTTTTTATAAAAACCATACGAAGAGATCTATTTAATCTTTGGACATTCGTTTTTAGGTAAATCTATATGAAGTAGATAATATATTATCTAAGATTAGTATTGATTGTTATTATATACAAAAATAATCATAATAACACTTACACCTATATAAGATTAATAAGAAAAATTGAATAATAATATTTTGTATAAAATAATTATGATGAAGGTAATCGAATTTATCAGTTAAAAAAAATGAAAATATTGAATAAGATATTATATATAATACTTAACTATCATGGCTGAGTAAGTATCTAACAATATTTCACAGACAAAATTTATAATTTTAATTAATAGAGCAAAGGTCGTGGTAATAATTTCTAACTGCTGATATACTATTGGCTAGAACTTCATTTGAGTAATTATCATAAGGATAAAAACCGCTTTTGTTGTACTTTTCTATTCTTTCACTCGTATCCTTTATAACGAAATATTTTTCTCAATAAACACAGTTAGTCTCCAATATAGTGATAGTATCTACAAATGGCATAAAAATTACGATTAGATCTCGATGGAATATTACTATTATGCATGTTTTTACAAAAATGAATTGATGAAGAAAATATGATGCATGATAATATCGTACAAATTACAAATAAAAAACAATTTAAAATCTTATCTCAAGTCAATACACAGACATTCTGTCTATTATCAATAATTAAGATAGAAATCAATTGGTAAATTTTAACTTAAATGTTTTTCATCGATCAAATCTTATCTCGAAGTAATTGAAAAGATATTATTGATAAACAAAATAGATATAGAAAAATATTTATCTAAAAATTGTCAGGGAATATATAGTTCAAATTCGATAATATATCAATCGACAAAAAAAAATACTAGTAAAATAAATCTTGTAAAAGTTAATATATTTAAGCACGAGCTTCAATATATTTAAGTCTACAACCATCAGCCGGATAAATTGTTGGTAAATACATAATTTTATCCATATCAGGATGATGAGCACGTTCAAAATTCATATCAGTTAAAAGAGAAATAAATAACATAATATGATTCATAGCATAACGTTGACCAATACAAGCATGAGGTCCAGCACCAAATGTTAAAAAATTTTTATCAAATTTCATATGTTCCATTCGATCAGAATTAAATCGTTCCGGATCGAATATTTCAGGATCTGAAAAACCATTACGATTTGAACTCCATATACTTGGAATAATTAAAGTACCTTTTGGTGCTGTATAATCTTCCGATATTTGTACGGGTTTATTAGCCACATGAATAGCAAGTGTTGCGGGTGGACGTAATCGTAAAAGTTCTTTCATAACTTGCCATGTATATTTCATTTGTGTTAATATTTCAGGTGTAAGTGATGCTAATAGATCTGGACGAATCAATTTTTGTTCATTACGAACTTTTTCAAGTACATCCGGATGTTTACAAAGTTCATGTATAGCAAATGTTAATGAACTAGTCGAAGCATCTTGTGCAGCAAATAAAAAATCTAATGTAATTTTAGCTATTTCTTCATCGGAAGTATGTTGTGGTGATATTGATTGATTATTATTTTGTGCTTCATGAATTGTTTTTAATGTTGAAATCATCCAAAAATCTAATAAACAAGTTGCTTGTTCATTTTCAATTGACATTCGTTGTTTACATTGTTTAACAATAGATTGTAATGATTGACGAATCGATTCAGCAGCACGAACACCTTTATAAAGTTGTGTGCCAGGAAAATAAATTGGTGTTGCAAACATTCCACGAGTTAAATTTGTATAATTTATTTTAAATTCTTGACGAATATCATCAGTTAAATAAGGACCAAGAAAAACTGATAAACTTGTGTTAATATTTAAATCATAAATTAATGGTCGCATTTCAATACCATCTTTTGATATTCTACTCATTTCACACCATTTTTTCATATGATCACGAATAGCTTGTTCTTGAATATGTAAATAAACTGATAGAGCTTTTGTTGTAAATAATGGTAATAATGCAATACGTAATGTTTTATGTCTATGACCATTCATAAATGCAATATTATCATGTCCTAATAAACGACTTGCATTTGGATGTAATACTAATGGCATATCACTTGAACATTTTTCAAAAATTTTTCGACTATATTCACTATCAGCTATTAAAACAAAAAAACGACCGATGATACTATTCCAACTTAATTTGCCGTATTCCATTTGACCATGCCAAAAATTATAGGGTGCTAATAACATATGAATTATACCACCAATAAATGGAACGGTTAATTTTGGGCCAGGAAGTGAACCACGTTTTGATATATATGTGATTTGTTCATATATATATGCTATTAAAAGACCAAAGAATATAATCGATAACCAAATACTAACTGTCCATGATTCAATCATATCGAAAGTAGTTACGAGAATAGACATTATGTTTGAAAAAAATATAATCGCTGTACGTACAAATTCGATAAGTTCGATTACGTTCGGAATGGTGTTTTTACGTATGAAGGACGCAAAGTTTAGTTTGTTGGAAGAAAAAAAGTAATGTTTTTATAAAAGAACGAAATATTATTTTAATTTATTAAAACATTGATTTTTCTTTTTCGTCACTTGTTTATATGATAAATCAAGGTAATATTTTTCTCACGAAATACCCTTAATTAAATGTCTATCTTTCGTTATTTGATGTAAACAACTAATTCGAAATAAAATATATGTGATCATGATTGAGATAATGGGGAAATTATGAAAATATTTACATCAATGACATATATCTAAATTCAAGGTAATGAGTATTTATGCAATGAGAAAAAAAAAGAAGTAGTTTACAGAACGAAAAAGTGAAATACACGTTAAAAGAACATTGTCGAAGTAGAACAAAAATAATTTTAATACAAAAAATACGATTTCTATTTAAGTGCTAGTTAAATTTAAACTTTTCATTTTTGATAAATATATAAACAATAAATTCAATTATACAGGTATTTTATTAATAAAGCTTTTCATGGTCATTCTCATTTATCGCTAAAGATAGTTTACATTATCTGATGAAGAAAAAAAAATGTATTCCGTACGTATTGCCCTTTGTATGATATACTGAAAGAGAGGAAAAAATATTTTAGTCATGTATTAAGTATTAAACATTAGGCAAATATTTTTATTAATGAACTTAACATTCGACAAATTTACCTATCGAAATCTTACTTAGTAGATAAAAAGTAGTATCTTCGGCTGTCATTTAAGTGGTCAGTAGAATAAATGAAACGGTCAGTAAAACAAAAAATTCAAAGATCAGTAGAATTATTGAATGGTCAGTAATTAATTTGATAGATTCATAATAAAATTCAAACGATCGGTAAATAAAATGAAATGGAAAGTAAAAAAAGGTAAACTTGTGCAAAGATGGCCTACTTTTTTTTTTACTGACAAAAATCATATTTTTTCACTGCTACTTCCACAAAACTACTGGCCGCTTTTGAATTGTTTACTGATTTTTTTTGAAAACTGACCAATTAATATATTTACTGATATTTTAATTATTTTACTGACCGCAGAACATATTCCCTATTTATATTCAGTTCAATGCAAATACTATGAGACTGTACTAGTGGAAATAGTAAATTCGCATTGTTCACATCATGTTTCAATAAATTCCTTCACTACCACCTCTTTATTTCGTCTAATCAATTTTGCTGTTTTTCGCTGCCAGATATCCTAGAAAAGTTTAAATTCTAAACTTTTTGAATGAATAGCTGGTTGCAGGCAATGGTACTTTTGTATATCGGTAGATTTTTTTCTGGCAGAATGAATTCTCATCTTCCAATAATGTAATACAAGTCTTTTTGCAAACCACTGTATGTATATACATGCATATAAAGACATAACGATTTTGCATTACTTTCTTCATATTCATTTTCTACTAATTTAAACTGATTGTTTTTTATTTCATAAATATAATAAATCAAAAAAAATGTTCAGGTAAATCAAATCCATCAACAAATATATCCCATTTTGATTTTGGTATTTGTTGAAAGACTTTATTTAAACGATTTGGTTCGTTAAGTTGTGAAACACGTATAAATATTTTTAAAATTCTTTCTGGATATTTTCGATAAATATCTGCATAAATTTCTGGATCTTTTTGAAAAATATCTCCAAATAAAATAAATTTTCTTGAATATGTTTCTTGAATAAACATATTTAAAATACTTGTCTTTTGTTTTATAAATGATTTTGATAAGAAAAATTGAAAAAAATCTATATCAAACCATGAAAAATGTCTCATATGATAAGAACCCAATGGAAATTGTTCACGATCAAGAAATTCACGTAAAAATGGATATAATTGATCAGGTGATGCAGTTAAATAATGAAATGTAGCATTATAATATGATTCATAATGACGATATCGTTCTGACATACCAGCAACTGCATGAAATGTTCCAGCAAATGTATTTCGAAGTACAGAACGAATACTCGTTACACCTGTTATTTTTATTGTATCATCCTTAAACGAAGAGATTTTTTTATTTAAAGTATAGAAACGCACTGTGTGAACGTATTTTTCATAGATTATCCATAAATACTAGCTCTACTATGTATAGACTATCGTTATACTTACAATATCACTAATAATTGATATACCATTATCATCACATAAGAAAATTTCACCTTTTGTTTTCATATTTTGTTTTAATGCTGATACAGAATATTCAATTTTTCCATATTTTCCACCTGGAATACGTAGTTGTTTAATATCATTATTTGATATTTGAAATTGTTTTTTAATTAAACCATGTGCGTCAGTTTTTGTACACATTTCATATGTTAAACCATCAATACATAATGATTTATGTTTTTTTCCACTACCAGTAAAATAAGAAATACGTTTTTTATCTATATTATCAACAAATGGTGAAATTATTGATCTTATAAATTTTGCACGAATACCATTTTCTTCAAAAAACCACCCTAAAAGAAATATTATATTGGTTATTTTCTTTTTTAGAATAATATTTTTTATGAAAAAACAGCAACTGACCTTGAGCATAGAGCATCCAATCATCCGAAGGATTTGTACTATTATTTGAACGATGACGAAAAGCAACGGATGGTACAAGTATTAATTGTTTTTCATTTGAAAATAAAAAACTTGATATTAAATTATGTTCTTGAAAGAAAATAATACAAATCAAGAAATTATGATATTTCCACATAAATGATATACGATGACGACGTTTATATGATTATATTATTGTTCTATTCGGATAACCATACAGCATTTCCACTGTTGAGTATATATATATATATTTTCTTTCTCTTATCTAGTATTATTATACGTAGTCTTTGCGTTCTTTGTATATATTATAGAAAGAAAAAGACTTTTCTTTTCAGAACGAGAACGACATAAAAAATATACGCTTAACTATTTGTTGAGAACTTGAATCATTAGAATATAAATCGGAATATTATTTAATGACATGTCACAAATTTTTTATTGGAGCTAATCTTGAAATGGAAATAATTTTTGTAATAAAAAACTATGGTATATATGATTTGTTAAGAAAAAAATAATGCCAACTTATATTCGATAAAGTTTGGAATCACCAAGATCTATATGGAAAATAAAAAAGATTAAATAAGTATTACCAATAAGTATCAATGAAATTCGAATATGAATATGACGTCGTTATAATTTATTATAATAGAAACGATAAATAATAAGATCGAGAACAATTTACTAGAATCTTAGTTTCACTCATGATTGAAACTTGACGATGGTAATCTGAGAGTAAAATAAACATTCGATAATTAAATCTACATGTCATTTTACAGAAGTAGATTGTTTGACAATATTCCATCATAATGCTCGAATGTACTTCTCACAGAATAAAGATAATTTTATCTTTTCTCGTCTTTTGTTAAATTTGATAGTTTGGAAGAATAACTCATCAAACAGTTTTTGTTATAAGTATAGTTAATGCAAGGACGTCATATGTTCAGAAAATATTAGATTCTGATGATTGATGAAAAGTCTACAACATACGAACTCTAAGTTAATATAAAATCTTGAAAACACACGTATTTGTATGATGTTATTTTTAATATGGAAATCTTGAGTGTGGATGTAATGAGTAATATTTATTTGTATTCGTGTTGAGTATGATCTGTATGCCGTCATTGCTCATGGTGAGCTTAGGAGAAAATTAATTTAAATTAAAAACCTATGCCTTTTGAAAGGGCAAGAGAGGAAAAATGAAACGAAAATGTGTGAAAAAGATACTTCGTTATCATTAAAGAGATTAAAAAAATATAGATTGATCAGTCATTTATTTTCGTTTGCTTTCGACCTTGATGGTTCTCTTATAATCAAAAGTTGGTTTATTGTGTCGTTAGATGAGCCATCGATTTGTAAAATATAGGATTGATCCATTTGATCTGCAAAGAAAGAAAGCGTATATGTAAGACTTTGTTATCATTAAAAGCAATTACCGAGTCGCTGTCGTATTATGTTTTGAAGCCAACGTAAAATTGATGCATTATTCCATATACTGAAACCAATATACCAAATTCCAAGAATATATCCATATAGTAAGATTATAATACTAACTGTTGAAACGTTTGTCTCGCAAAATTGTCCTTTACTCGATACATTTGTTTTTCGAAATATCCAAATGTGACCAATGGCAAACCAAGCAATAGAAAATGTAAGAAGCCAATAGGTGACAACAAAGATGCACTTGACAACATTTCCATTTAGTTGCAACGGAAAAGTTGTATTGATTGGATTGCAGCTGAAATGAGAACAAAATACGATTTTAAAGTCAAACCATCTTGAGGGTGTGTGTGTATCCGTTTACGAGCTCTTATAATGCTTTAGCTGGAGTGACTATGTTGAGAGGAGAGAGAATGAATCCTGTTGACAATCTGTCGGCCATGTCACTGATCTATATTAATATCAAGATTTTTTGTTGTTTACATCATTGATCACTCATTGTAACAGTAAAGTAATACAAAAAGATTTTTCTCAATACTGAATTCGAATGTATTGTATTACTTAAACTAAACATTTCATTTTAATCCTTTGTATACTTACTTAGCAACGGCTACAGTGATATAAACTAAGACCACGACGAGACCACAAACACCTTGAACAATAAGAAAAATGCATATCATCCGCTCATTAGAACAATCATTCAGGTAGTTGCCACCAACCGCGATAGCCACAATAAATATGATGAATGCAACTGAGAGGTGGACATGATACCAAAGGTGCTCTTGTTTGAAAAAAGTATTATTCGGTCGACAAAAGCTCCGTGCTCCTTGTGCGATCTTAAGTAAAAAGCAGGAAAAATTGAGCTCGTCCGATTTAATCGGCATCTCAACATCGTATGTATCGTCTTCTATCAAAATTGGTGCATGTTCTTCTAGAAAATCCGACTGAACGTACATCATGCAGATAATAATATAAGAGTTTTACGGGAGTAATTTTGCAATAGAACCAGAAGAATAGTAATGTATGAATCGAAGTTTTTTTTTCTGCTCAAATGTCTCCTTTCAAACTATGTCAATACAATCGAATTTCGTTCGCGAGCACCATTACTACCTGAGAGAACATACAATCGTAACCCACGTGGTTGTTTTTCTCGTAGACAAACAGCAATATTTTTTTTAAATATTTTAAGACAACAGTCGAATCTGCAAGTGAATTCATCATTATGCATAACGTGAACGATGTTATTTTTATCGAAGTGTGTGTGCAGCATGTTGTTGTATTTCACAGGTTGAAGAAGAAAGAACATAAAAACGACGACTATGGACTATATGAATTTGTATGCTTTTCAGTCTCGAATATTCAGATCGATCCGTGTATATCTATCCGTCACACTTGTATTTTTACTTTAAAAGTTAAAAATAACACTGTCACCCACACCCGAATTCGAGTATTCAGAGAAAATATCTTCAATAGGAAACTTGTCGGATTCTACAATATCTGATGATATTGCCTCTATGTTTGTTAACTTGGCAGGGCTCATCACATTCAATCTACATTTTGTAAAATTTATTTTGATTATTCAGTATTATTATAAAGTTTATATTTCTCTTGATAAGTACATTGTTGTCTCTACTTATGTGCGTTTTCAATATCGAAACAAGTCGTTAGTGTATTATTCTAAAACATAAATCATTTTTTCGTTATTGCACTCTAAAATAAAAAATTAATGAGTATAGCATCTAATTTATTGATTTAAATCCAGCAAAATCCCAGCCAATTATACATGGGATAGTCAATAGGATCTGAGAGCGAAATCTCTCATTGTGGATATTTACCTATTATCCATAATAGACTAGTTCGTTTGCTCGAGCTATAATGAACATATTCAATTTCTTTTTGTATCACGAACTTTTTGGATCAACTTGTATAACTTCAAATACAAATATTTACAAAAATACACATATGAAGGAGAAATTTTATGCTCCTTATTTTATTGTAGTGTGTGGATGCGGATATTGTGTTAATCATATATCCACATCTACACCCAACTTCTTAATATTAAACCTGAGACATATTTCTGTCCTTTAATCTATTTTATACATTAAAGAGTATTTTTAAAAAATTATAAAGATTTTTAAGTCGAAAAATAATCTTAAAAAGGCATATCTTTCTCGGAGAATGCTAGATGTTTATCATCCAACATCTACTAGTGTTGAAAAAGTATAAACATTTTCTTGTTGATTCTCTTTCTACCTTAAAGAAAAGAAAAAAAAGAAGCACTTATCAAAGAAAAAAGGCGATGTTTATTATCAGATAAGACAGAAACATCGTTGTGCAGTTCTATCTAGAAGTTTCGTTCGTGTGAGAATCTAACAAATATCTGTATGTCTAGAAGTGTACGCCGAGCGCCTGTAAAGTCATCGCTAACGAGTTTTCAGAGAGCTTTCTAACCACTATCACCGTAGTCATAAGATTGATGCTTGTTTTTTGAAAACGCTTCCATGCCCAAACTCAGATTTTGAGACATTCTAGTAAAGGTCTTTTGTAGAAAATTACAGCCCTCATCACCAAAAATAACACCTATGGATAATATCATTAATATTTGGAAGAGGATAAGCATTTGTTCTTTAAACGAAGTTAGTATAAATACACGTTCAGGACAGAATTCTTTAGCAACTATAGTTATTGAAAAGTTGTTAAGTGTGGATGTGGGTGTGGATATTGTATTTAGCTCTCATTCACTCTCATACCCATATTCAGTATCTGTAAATAAATTTCAGATCTAATGGCGTTATCTGTTAATTATGGATGTAAGCGAGCATTGATTATTGGCATCAATAAATACCCTCGCGTTCCATTAGTTTATTGTGTAAATGATGCCGAAGATTTAAAGAATACTCTCGAAAGAATCGGATTCGACGTTTCACTAAAAATCAACTGCGACAGAAAAGAATTCCTCCAGGTGATTGACACATTTGTTAACAGAATTGAACGTACTGATTTAGTATTATTCTACTTCGCTGGTCATGGCAAACAGCATGAAGATCAGAATTATCTGTTACCGTCAAATTACGATTATGATTTTCTCCTGCCCGAGGATAAGCATATACCAGCACACGCTGTTAGCGCACAGTATATTATGAAGAAAATAAATGATAAATACTGTCGCATATCAATATTTCTTTTCGATTGCTGCAGAAACTTTGTGCGCACAAAAGCGCTCAATATGCGACAAGGTTTATCAATTATGAATGCGCCATCAGAAACTGTGATTGCATTTTCTTGTGCAGCAGGTGAAGCGACGCTTGACGAGACAGGGAATAATAGAAATGGTATTTTTACTGAAAACTTATTAAAATACATTGCAGTACCCAATAAAGATATTGAAGAAGTGTTAAAACGTGTTTCTCGTGACGTCAAACTACAAACAGGTGGCTTTCAGAAACCATATCGAACAAGCTCTTTGACGGAAGACGTTTTCTTGGTAACAAACCACAGTGAAGGTCAGACGCTATTCTTTGTAAATTCATTAATTTTTGCTTTGTTAGAATCAGTCAAAGGACTGATTCAGGGTTAATGTGGATGTGGGTGAATACAGTATGCATACCCCACACCCACATTTAATCAGATTTTTAGATCTTACTACTCCCGGTCAACTGTTCCTTGACGAATTTTCAAGGGAGTCTCCACGTAAGTTCCACTGGCGAATCACGACAGGAATTCTCTACAGATTTGTGAGGAAGTGTAACTGAGTCCTTAGGGTTTTGCAATGAAATAAAAGAGAGCTCCTAAGAATGGGTGTGTCTATACAAGAAATTCACAGTCACCCTCACTCTCGACTAGAGGTTTATTTTTCAATTATAAATAATTCAATAAATAAATTATTCTAGAATCTATGATACAGGTCTCAAAATAATTAGATAAATAAGAAATATTTGATATTTTACTATTAAATTTGATCTATAGAAAATCTTAGTTAGAAGATCGAATAATTAAAGATTATACTTTTACAAGTTTATTTCTCAGATAAATGATAAAACAGTTGTTCTGAAGGTCGACAAAAATAAAATCTAATTCGATAAAATGATTGTTAAAAAGTTTACTTTTTTTAAATAATAAAATTGAATTTTCATTAGTTCCATTTTAAATTATTTCAAAAGCTTAAATGATCGTTCTCATAGTCTAAAGAATTCTTTGTTTATTTTTTCAAAACAAAAATATTATATTAAAATTTTCAAATATTTCCATATAATTTAAATTAAAATAAATTATTCATGTTTCTATTATTGTCAAATAAAATCATTGCATTTTTTGTTTATTAAGGTGCTTATCAACCAAGTCATTCTACAATTAGTGCAGCGGCTGTATCAAAGACTCCAATAACAACAAGTCAAATATCAACTGAATCTCAGATAAAACAAAGTATGTTTTATTAAATATAAAATAATTTTATTATCTTTAAAATGGAGATAAAACTTTTTCATAAATTATTTTTATTAATTAAGTAACAATTTAAATTAATTTTTTAAAGAATATTATTCCTTAGATAAAAAAGAACAGTTTCTGTCAAAACAATATTCATAAAACTATCCATAATTTTATTCTTTTCTATTTTAATATCACTTAATACAACACTGAAAAGAGATCTAATCCATCGTTTTCCAATTATTTTTCCTATTGAGATATTGAGAGTATTATCAAATACATGTTTAAAATAAAAATTCGTTTGAAAAGTAACAAAGTTTTTCATTTAAAATAATTTTTATATTTTATAAAATCATAAAACTGATTTCTGTTTAAAATCTGCAATAAAATCTAAATATTATATTCATTTATTCTAATTTAAAATCAATTACATTTATTTTGTTTTAGAATCATAAAACAAAATTTTCATTTTATTTTCATTCATTAATTAATTACCAAAAATAAAATAAAATCATCTTTTCATCTATAAAATTTATTCAAAATATTTATCTAAGTTAGTAAGAATCTTTCTATTAAATATTTTCAATTCATTTTTAACTTTGAGTATTTATTTTAGAACAATTGATTAAATGAATAATCTTAAAAAACATTAAATTTAATGAAAACTTATTACTTTTTTAAATAAAATGAAAAATTGACAAAACGTGATTAAGTAATTTTATTTGTATTTCTCAAATATTAAAAATAAAAGGAAACTTTCTTAAATAAACTGTTTTTGATTAAAATAAAAATTAATTTCATTTTCTTCTCAGGTTTTTTAAATTTTCCGAATAAAAATCAAATCGATTCTAACAAAAATTCATTTGCTAAAAATTAAATTTTTCTGTTTAGTTAAAAATCAGTTTTTTTGTTTTAAATTCTAAAAGTGATTCAAATCCCATAAGATTTTCATTTTCCTTGAATCAATCACATTTCAGATATTGTCTTCAAGATTTTTATATTTTAAATTCATTCAAATTCTATATAAAATATTTTACTGTTAATCATTTTAAAATATTTGTAAAAGTATAAATAAAATTAATTAAAAATATTATTTCAACAGATTAATCAATTAACAGTTGTCTATAAAATCATTACTTTTCTGCTTTTTAAAAGACTGATTTTTAATAAAAACCCAAATCTAAACAAGTTTCTAAAAATAAATAAAATTTTTATATTTTTTTCATTTGAAAAATGTGTTTTAATAATTTAATGAGAAGATTATCTTATTTTTCAATTCTTGAATAAATTTGAGTTAAGTTTAAATTTTAAGTTCAAAATTTTGAAATAAAAAAAAAGTTTTCAATCGATTTCATTTAAATCATTGAAATAAAATGATTCTTATTTAAAAAACATTTTTCTTAATTAATCTTTTATGAAAAGCATATAAAGAATTTTGAACTAAAATCTTAGTGGAATGCAGAAATTATTTAGTATTTATTATGTTCGATTAAAAATTAAATTTAATAAAAAGAAAACTTTATTTCATTACAATAAATTCAAATACAAGTGTTTCTTCTTATTTTCGCCCTCTTTTGATTTAAAAATAATGAAAAAGATTTTAAACAAAAAAAAAGACCGTTTATTTTAGATGAAATTCAAACAGGAAAAAATCAATACAAACAATTTGGAATTACTGTTGCTGGAGGAAATGGAGAAGGACAGAAATTAAATCAACTCTATTGTCCTACTGGGATGTTTATTGATAATGATAAATCAATTTATATTGCTGATTCTTACAATCATCGTATTGTTAAATGGAAATTGAATTCAAATACTGGTCAAATCATTGCAGGTGGAAATGGAAAAGGAAATCAAAATAATCAATTGAATTGGCCAACAAATATAATTTTTGATAAACAAAATAATTCTTTTATTATTTCTGACCAACGAAACAACCGAGTAATTCGATATTTTGATCAAAATCAAACTAATCAACAAATCATCATTTCAAATATTGGTTGTTGGGATCTGACAATCGATAAAAATGGATTTGTTTATGTTTCTGATTGTTGGAATCATGAAGTAAGACGATGGAAACAAGGAGATGACGAAGGTGAATTGGTGGCAGGTGGAAATGGTAAAGGAAACCATCTTAATCAACTCAATTTTCCTACTTTTATCTTTATTGATGAAGATTATTCTCTTTATATATCAGATCGTGAGAATCATCGAGTAATGAAATGGGAAAAAGATGCTAAAGAAGGAATTATTGTTGCTGGTGGAAATGGTAGAGGACGTAGTCTCAAACAATTATGGAGTCCTGAAGGAGTGATTGTTGATCATTTGGGTCAAATCTATGTCGCAGATTTGATGAATCATCGAGTAATGCGTTGGTGTGAAGGAGACAAAGAAGGAGAAATTGTTGTTGGTAGAAATGGTCAAGGAAATCAATCAAATCAATTGAATTATTCCTATGGTTTATCCTTTGATGATAAAGAAAATCTTTATGTTGTTGATTGTGGCAATCATCGTATCCAAAAACATGAAAAACTTTGAAATTAATAATATTTCTAATTTAATTTGATAAGATTTCTAGTTTTATTTTTGAAAATAAATAAAAAACATCAATTTGTAAAAAATTTTAAAGTAAAATAAACGAAAATGGCTTAAAAAAATTTGTTTTAACAAAATAAATAAATTTGTTTTCATTTTTAGAAAAAAAGTAAATAAATATTCTTTTTATTTTGACTTCAAATTAAAAAACTAAAATGAATATAGTAATTCGAATAGAATTTTTGTTGAATGAATTAAACTAAAAGAATTTGAAACAAAATTTATTCAGAAGAATTCGATTATTATAGAAAAATCAAATAAAATATTATTCAAATTGAGAAAAACATTTAAATTAATTAATTAATAGGTAGAGAAGTAGAAATTAATTTAGAATATAGTGAGTATAAAACTGCTACAAAACATATTAGATTTTAGACAAAACCCGTCTACGTTATTCAAGCTTTCGATAAGATGGTCTTATTATCATGAGGAATATAAAGAAAAATTGAAAAATGTTCTTTTTAAGTATTACAATGACTAGTTCATAGAATAAAAAAGGACAATCAACTAATAACAATTCGAATTATTATTGGTTTTGGATGCGAACGTTGTCAAAGAATATAAATCACCCACACCCTCAATAACAACAGACTTTCATTCTATTTTGCTTTATAACTAAGAATATTGTTTTCCATATATCAATAATGTTTATTGAATAATAAAAGAAAAAGAAAAATTATGAACAAACGACCTGTATCGTGAGATATTTCATTTTCAAATCATATGTAATATGATCGAAGTATTATATTTCAGAATTTAAAGAGCAACATTTAAAAAAGATCAAATCCATCAATGACAAACAACAGAATGATCATAATAAAGGTTATATCTGTTATAAATTCATGAAATTCCTTTTTTATTGGCATAAAAAAAAGTATTAGAACCTATGAGCAATTACTTAACATCTGGCAAAATTCTAATATCTACCATGATTACTAAGTTAATCTTTTACATTCATAGTTACTGTATTGCTCTTTCAATTACATATTGTAATAGATTCAAGAATAAACTCAGAAATGGAAACGAAATCTACGTCTAAAAGTTATTTATTCCGTGTAACATCAAGTAAGTATTTTATATGATCAGTTCATCGCTTGAATTCGATAATAACATTGCTCTTGAATTATTTACAACTAATTACAAACATAGTCGAGATTTTTTATTTGCCATTGCTGAAGTATAACTAAGATCTTATTTAGTTTCATTATTAGAATAAAATACAAACTTTATTTTAGCCCATTGATCGTTTTAAACATAGTAATGTACAGAGATGTATGCAAAAGTTAAATTGGTTTTGCAACATAAACATTATTTTATTGAAAGTATCTTTCCAATAAGTTACAATCTTCGATATATTTTCAATTATAATTCATTAATTGTTATTAGAATATTTTCAAAGAACTTCTTCAAGATTCTCAAATTAAAGAATGTCGACCAATCTCAACAGAACAATTGATTATTATTGATCAAGATTTAAGTTTGGTATTATTTGAAGTTATTCAACATAAAATATCCATCAATTTGAAGTGTACGACTTTATTCATGATACAATGACAAAAATCTCAATATTCCACTTGCTCTAAATGCTAGATTCTAAACTTGAACTACATCTCGAGATTATATTTGTTAGGTGCTGAAAGATCATTATTAGGTGTCCCAGCTGCATGTAAAATGAATAAGAATTGTCTTGTATTATGTAATTCCAATGTTTCTGTTGAACAAAGGAAAGAACAATTCAATTATGAATAGGATTTGCAATATTGGTATATATATTTTTTTGTTTCGAACTTTTCAATTATCCATATAGGTCTTATATTACTCGATGAAGTACATACGGCTCTTGCTAAAAGTTTTCGAAAAATTTTGAGTACTGCACCTTCACTGATTAAGTTCGGTCTTGGTGCAACACTGGTTCATGAAGAAGATAAAATTTAGGATTTATTGTTGAATTTCATCGTGCAGAAGTTCGATGTGAAATGACACCTGAATTCTTAGGAGAATATACCAAAGCTGGTGTATTCAATCCATCGGCAATCTATAATTGAATATCATGAACAACGAAATGATAAGATTATCGATTTTAGTGATGGCCCATTTGCAGTTAAAATCTATGTATTAAAACCATCGTGAGGGTATGGATGTGAATATTACATTAATCATACATCCACACCCATCCCATATCTACATCTATACTCATACTCCTCAAACTTTTTGTTGTTATCTTCTGCAAGCAGAGAACAAACTCTATGAAGATATATAATAACATCGTCAATAAAAGCAAAACAACTGCTTCTTACCGACTTGGATGCATAGCCTTGTTTATCATTCTTTTACAAACCAAGATAAAAGAATTTATTTATCTTCATATATAAAAGGTGAATTATGTATGATGTCCATACTTTTATTCATTCTGACGAAAGAAACTATTACTAACATACACGTCTAAAAAGACAGAATACCAAGTGATTTATAAATAACCAAAGTCAGTAAGTATCACTCAATCTATCTTCTTTTACAGTGTTTTTTTCCTGTTTGAGATCAATGTGTGTGAAATAGAGTTTAAATGGATACCCTTGTACGAACTGTTGCCCATTTTAACCACAAAAGTTCTCATGAGCTTAAAGTTTAATTAATTTCACAGACCGATGTTATGACTTTTCAATAGTTGTAGATGCTACAGAGATGTTCATTTTTGCAACTTGCTTTATTTCTTTGGGAGTTTGTAAAAGAGAAAATATCAAGTCCGCGAGTTTAGATATTAATGCAGATGAGAGTACATATGAAGATGCGGGTATAAATGATGATGATGATGTAGTTCATCAGTTCGAGTTTACGATGTGAGGATATCATGATAATGAAAGTATTGAGAGATGACTATAATATCCATATCTACATTCGCCGCTTAGCATCCACATCAAGCTGTCTACTAGCATCTTCATTGTCATGGTGGGCAGTGGCGGATTTAGAGGGGGGCGATGGGGGCAATCGTCCCTCCCTTCCGAATTTTTTTTTGATTTTTTACAGCAAAAATGAACGAAAAAATAGGTTCACACTACTTCGATTAGACTCAAAAAATAGCTTTTAACCAAAATCGCCCCCCCAGGTATCGCCCTCCATACTCAAAAAAAAAATCCCCCACCCCCTCCCCAGGTATCGCCCCTCCATACTAAAAAAAAAAAAATTTCGCCCCCCCCTTCCAAAATCCTAGATCCGCCACTGATGGTGGGTATGGGTGTGAATGAATACAAGACTATGTCACACCCATACCCACACACCTTCAAGATTTCGAAGAATAAATAAATAAGAAAATAGTTCTTTAAAATCTAATTAATAAATTGATAGAACATATCATTTTATGTCTGATATTTTTTCAAACTAATCGAATAAGAAATTGAAATGATATAGGATTAGATAAATTCTTGATTATAGATTCATTTTTATTTCAAATTCAAAAATATTTCTTTTCGTTGACTAATCAAAATATATTGTTAGACGAAAATTTTTATAGAAAAATTCAAGAAAAGAATTTGTTTTTCAATTACAAATAATTTCATAAATAAATCATTGTAGAATTTTCGATTTTAATCTCAAAATAATCCGATAAATAAGAAATATTTGATATTTTATTTATATTTGTAAATAACTAAAACTTCAAAGAGAAAATAAATATTTTTGATCTAGAAAACTTTACGATTCATATTCAAAACTTGAAATGTGAACAAATTCTCTCTCTTTATATCTTTACTGGGAAAATTTAAAATCATAAAACTGAATTTTCATACGTTCCATTTTAAACTATTTCAAAAACTTCAACAACAGTTCTTATAATCAAAATAATTATCATTTATTTATTTATTTTTTCAAAACAAAAATATTTTATTAATATTCTCAAATATTTTTATATAAATTAAATTAAGATAAAATATTTATTTTTCTATTATTGTCAAATAAAATTATTCTACAATTAGTACACCGACTATACCAAAGAATCCAATAACAACGAATCTAATGTTAACTCGATCTCAACTAAAACAAAGTATGTTTCATTAGATAACAATAATAGTAATTTTGTCTAAAAAATAGTTTCATCGACTTTCAGATTGAGGGTGGGTGTGGGTCTAGGTATGAGTACAGCTGTGATGTTAATAGTTGTTATATTAGTGTACTCATATCCACACCCACACCCTTAAAAATAATCGAAAAGATTTTGAATAGAAAGAAAATCTTTTATTTTAGAACTAATTGAAACAAAAAAGAATCAATACAAACAATTTGGAATTACTGTTGCTGGAGGAAATGGATCCGGACAGGAACTAAATCAACTCTCTGTTCCTTGTGGGATATTTATTGATAATAATAAATCAGTTTATATTGCTGATTATTATAATCATCGTATTGTTAAATGGGAATTGAATTCAAATACTGGTCAAACCATTGCAGGTGAAAATGGAAAAGGAAATCAAAAGAATCAATTGAGTTACCCAATAAATACAATTTTTGATAAAGAAAATAATTCTTTTATTATTTCTGATAACGGGAACAGACGAGTAGTTCGATATTTTGACCAAAATCAAACAGATCAACAAACTATTATTTCAAATATTGATTGTTGGGGTCTAGCAATCGATAAAAATGGATTTATTTATGCTTCCGATATAGAGAATCATGAAGTAAGACGATATAAACAAGGAGATGAAAAGGGTGAATTGGTGGCAGGTGGAAATGGTCATGGAAATCATCTTAATCAACTGTATGGTCCTGCTAATATCTTTATTGATGATGATTATTCTCTTTATATATCAGATTACTTCAATCATCGTGTAATGAAATGGAAAAAAGGTGCAAAAGAAGGAATTATTGTGGCTGCTACAAATGGGAGAGGAAATAGTCTCAAACAATTGGATTGTCCTCAAGGAGTGATTGTTCATCATTTGGGTCACATATATGTGGCAGATTACTGTAATCATCGAGTAATGCGTTGGTGTGACGGAGATGAAGAAGGTGAAGTTGTAGTTGGTGGAAATGGTAAAGGAAATCAATCAAATCAATTGGATCTTCCCTCAGGTTTATCATTTGATGATGAAGAAAATCTTTATGTTGCTGATGCGAGCAATTATCGAATCCAAAAATATGAAAAAAATTAAAATTAAAAATGTTTTTAATTTAATTTGATAAAAACTATGATTTTTATTTTTGAAAATAAATAAAGAACATAAGTTAATGAAAAATCTTCAACAAAAATAAATATTTTCTAATTTTAGTTTTAAATTAAAAAACCAAAATGAATAAAATAATATGGATAGGATTTTTCTTGAATAGTTCAAATTAGACACGTCTAAATTAATAAAAAAAACTTCTAAATAGAAATTCCATTAGATTTATTTTTGTGATTTTATGATTTATTGAGGGAAAGGAAAAAGATAAATGAATAAGAATGAAATCTATCGAAATCGGAAAATTAGGTTAAATTTTTGTTTTTGACAAGAAAAACTTCTTGAATAAAAATAAAATAAAATGATTCATTAAAAAACTCAATAAACAGCGAAAATAATATAATTGTAAGTATTTTTGTCGTTGATGATGAAATATTGTTATTAAATATCGACGTTTCGAACAAACTTAGTGTTCATCTACGGGATCGAGAC